GCGCATTAAAACGGAGCTCTTAAATTCCTGTTGTCGAAGTGAAATGGAGCAAAGAATTAACATTAAATTTTGCTTCAAATTGGGCAAGACAGCTGCAGAAACCTACGAATTGTTAAAACAAGTTTATGGCAAGGAAGCATTATCTCGCTCAAGAACTTTTGAATGGTTTAAACGCTTTTGAACGCGAAAGCGTGGAAGATGATCCGCACACAGTTCGCGCACAAGCCGGAAGCAATTGAAAAAGTTCGCGAACACACATTGCGTTTGACTGGGAGGCGATTCTCAGATCAGCATGGTGTCGTTGAGTCGCAGCATCCACCATACTCGCCAGACCTAGCACACACTTTTTCCTGTTTCTTAAGCAGAAAAATTCACTGAAGGAAACAAGATTTCAGGAGGTCGAAGCCTTCACGAAAACTGTAACGTCACTAATAAAGAGCATTCCAAAAGTGGACTTTAAAACTTCTTTCCGAAATTTGTACAGCCGAGCACAGACGTGTATTACGGCTGATGGGGATTACTTCGAATAATATTAAATGGCTATGTGTTTAACTTTTTTTTCTTCTGAGTTATTCCATGAGTCCTGGAAATTAATAGCCAGACCTTGTATATATATATAAAGCATTGAGCCATATGTATTAAGCATTGAGTGGCTAAGAGGATAGAACGTTCAATACTCCCAATGAGGAGACCCACATTCGAATCCCAGTGGTGGTTAATGCAAATTCTGCTCAAAGCAAAGAACTTACCGAGGGAGCCTCTCATTGAGAGGAAGTAGTGACTCTCTCGTTACAAGGAGGGGAAACGGAGTGGAATCGCTCTTCCCAACACGAATGCAGGTTAGTTCCATCAAAAAGTCATCCACAAAGATCGGCTCTAAAGTAAAATATTAAACATAGCATTTTTTCATTTTTATCAATTTTTTAAAATTCTTTTCACGTTTGACGATCAAAACTAACAAAATTTCAACAAAAAAAAAGGAAAGAAAATACTTAATATTACCTAACAATAATACTGCAACTAAAATTTCTTCTTACTTTAGACAAACTATACGTGACTGCCCAAAAAGGTCAAAACAACCGAGTGTATGATCCAGTGTATGTTGGGTCAGTTGTGTGTCAAAACAACTAGCTTGATTTAAATTAGTCACCTTTTGAATTTTTTTGCGCTAAATAGATAGTGATTATAAAAACAAAATAATTTTTATTCTCTTTGTTTATTTCGAAATTTTACATTTATTACAACGCATATCTTAATAATTTTTACAGGTTATGATTGTCCTTTCATTCCCAACATATTTGATGCTGCATCAATGATTGGAGGAGCCACAGTCACAGCCGCAAAAGCTCTTCTCGGTAGAAACTATCAAATTGCTGTTAACTGGGGCGGAGGATGGCATCACGCTAAAAAGTAAATTCATTCATATAAAATTACGTAGCATTTGTTTGAAAATGTTACATGTTGTACTGTTAAATAATAAATTCAAACATTACATGGTGCGTAGCGTTTTTAAAAAGTGCTTAAACATGCTTTTTTTTATTCTCGTTTTTTACAAGCTCTTAAAAGTGCTTTTTTCATTGGGTGGTTTTAAAAAGTGCTTGATTTTCCCTTTCCGGAAATGAGATTTTTTCCTTTACCTTGTCGATTTTCGCCATGTATTATGCAAAAGCGTGCTTTTTAGATTGTTCTATTCAACCTTTTTACAATTCATTCAACCACAATCCTTTTCGGCATAGCATCGATCCATAGCGTATGAAACCACCATTCATTTTACATGTTTGATGAAATACTTGCAAGTCCGCATGTGCATCAACTCTACTGAGCTGGGTTCAGTGAGATTCTAGCACTCTCATGTGCAACTCTGCTGCATTTTTCAAGATATTCTCAATTTCAGGCTTCATTTTCCCCTCTTTGATATCGAACCAAAAAATATCTTGATCATTTTATAATGGCTAATGTAATCTAGAAAAAAGTTCTATGTCAGAAACTATTTATTTAATCATGATTATGTGAAGTCTTTGAGAACTATTTTGCATTTTGTTAATATGTATAGTGCTTAAAAAGTACTTAAAAGGTGCTTATTTTTTGTTGAAAGATTTGGCTACGCGCCCTGATTAAGTAAATAAAAAGAATGGGAGTGATCAGTTTGAATTCTTAAATAACTTCAAAATTTTTATTTCGAAAATAGGTTAAAAATTTTTTTTTTGTTTTGTTATCATGAAAATTCGCGAACTATATATATTTTTCTAAGGATCTGTAAAAATCAACAGAAATTAACTTGAAATCTTTAACTGTTCAAAATTATGAATTTAAAATTATAGTATAGTGAATCAATAAACTTTTGTAATCTAATCAGAAAATGAATCCAATTTACAAAAACAAAAGAGAAAAAGAAGTAAATTACAATTAAAACATTAGATCGAAATGGAAAAGCGCCTAAAGCAGCTGAAACCAAATTTGTTTTATTTTAATTTAGAAATTCTAGCAAACATTTAAACCAGGAAAAAATAATAAAAAGCAATAAAATAAAAGAAATGTGTGTTTGTTGAGACAAAGTTGAAGACAAACACACATTTATTTTATTTTATTGCTTTTTATAACTTTTGTATTAATATCATTTTTGTATTCATGTAATGTACAAGTGATATTTAATTTTTGTATTTTATTTCCTTTTATTGATTATTATTATAGCAAATTACCAATATATTTCATAAAATCTATTGGAATTATTTTCTTTTTATGTTGATAGTTCTGTAAATTATTAATTTTAATTTTCATAGCTGGAATTAATACAATTCTGCTGACAAAAAATGTTATATAATCAGAGACAGAAAATATTTTGTTATTGTTATTAGTGTTGTATAGTTTTTGTAGTTTATTTTACGCTATTATTTATTAAAAATGCTTAAGGTTCCCTGGGTGTGAAACGGTCTATATTGTACTCAACTGTTTGCAAAAATGTAGTTTCATAAAATCTTTTCGACATTTTATCTTGACAGTTAACTAAGTTATTAATTTTAATTTACGTATCTACGATTTATGCTAAAAATTGATTGTTTCTAGGTGTTACTCATGAACAGAAAATATTTCAGTAAAGTCATTTTAGTTGTTAATATCATAGAGTTTTACTTTTTTATTACCATTCATTGATTATTGAATTCCTTATGTATAAAAATATTTATGTGTTGCACAATAGTTAGCAGAAAATTACTATTATGCTTCATAAAATATGTTGGGTTCCCCCCCCCTCTTATATTGAGTGCTATATAAGTTATTAAATTTAATATTTTTTACCCTGAGCTGTGTATATTATATCATTAATGTAAGTTTCTGGAAAGTGAAATGTTAAAAATGAATATTTTCATTTCTAATTTAATGGATTCATTGATTTTCAATTGTTAATTTTAGGGACCAAGCTGATGGATTTTGTTATGTAAATGATATAGTATTGGGGATATTGCAGCTATTGCAAAAATACAAGAGAGTTTTGTATATTGATCTAGATTTACATCATGGTGATGGTAAGTGTGTATATTTCACTAAAAATTCAATACTTAGATTATTACTTTCTAGGCGGGTTTTCATCACCTTTTAAACTTTATTTCTTTGTTTTTATTTTTTTCATGTTTCAGATTGTATTCAGTGACATCTTAATCTATAAACGAATTCAGAAAACCTTTATGCCTCTTCATTCTGTGAATGCACACCAATGTGGAAAGTTTCTTTGGTTCTGTTAACATGCTTTGCTATAGTTAAAACAGAAAAATAAGCAAAAATGAAAAAAAAAAGTTTTCAATTTTTAAAACATTGAGTGTTGAAAAAATTATGAAATTTACTTGCCTTATTATAATTTAAGAAAAAATAATAATAAGTCAGCATTACAAAGCTCATGTTTCAGTATAAAGTAATCTAGTTTCAATTCTTCAAATTTTACTCTCCCATGCGTTTTTCAGAATATAAATTAACTTAACAACTATGTGTAAAAACTATTTCGAATAATGTACAGTTTTAGTATAAATAATGTTCTATTAAAATTTACTCCAAAAAAATCCCTGTTGAAAAATGATTTTACAAACAACTTTACCTAATATTTGGTCAACCAAATATTTGGTGAAAGGGTCGAATGCCATATTGTAGCCGAATATTCGTTATATCCCTAATTTTTATACCAGTTGATTAAAAAACTATACTCTCTATCTAAAATTATTATCAGCGAATAATTCTTCACCTTTATAGAGTGGAGTATCCTTTTGTAGTTAAAATATAATAATGATTCTTGTTGAAAATATTGAGAATTTATGATTTAAATGAATATGTATGTTATGATTTAAATGTAATGTATGTTATTAATTAATTTTTGATTAATTTGATTTATGTTAAAATTGTATAGAGCTCAAATCTTTCTTTACATTTTAAAGTGTGTTTCTTTTTGTAGGTGTTGAAGAGGCATTCGCTCACACCTCTCGAGTACTATGCTTCTCTATTCACAAGAATGAAATTGGATTTTACCCTGGTTAGTTATATTACCTATCATATATGTGTTTATTTATGAAAAACTTATTATAAAATATGTCTTAATATCTTTTTTCAGCGAACATAGCACTTATTCTGTGAATATTTTACTATGGGTGTATCTAAAAATGCACATTTAAGAAATTAGGCAAAGTATGAAAGCATTTTTTCATTGTTGAAGGTTGAACCCACGTTTTTAATACCTTTGTTACGCTCCAAAACTTTTCAAAAATTTGCTTAAGTTTTTTTATTTTCTACAATGCAAATAATTTTTATGAATCACAGATTTTAAAATATGTCTTTGAAAAAGATCTTAAAATGACCAGAGACCAGGGATAACTAAAATTATTTTTAAAAAAAGTGATTACAAAGTTCTTAAATTTACAAAAATTAAAATTTCTTCTTTTTTTAAAAAATTTGAATAAATTTTTATTTATTTATTCAAATAATTTTTTTTTTGTTTTTTTACATCTATTAATCAAAGCTCAGAAGAAAAGTATAAATAATGCTTAATAATAATTAAAAACAATATCTTACCTAAAATTAAAAAATCCGACTAAAATCGTTGTGTATACAATTATTGGCTGATATTTGGCTTTCGAAACAAAGTATAATGATTAAACATGGTGCATAGCGTACCACGTTGTAGCTTCAGTGATGTATAAAGATCTGCTTTCATAGTATATACACATAGAAGATATATGTATATATACTATGTCTACATATATATATCTTCTAAAACTTCCAAGATATGATGCTTTGTCCAGTTTGTTCCTCGCATTCGGGTGAAGCTGTAAGAGTGAAAATGCTTTTCTTTGTGTAGAAGAAAAACTGTCTTTCAACGAAGATATAATGGAGTCTAAATAAGGAATAAAGATTGACCCCCTGAAAAATTCTTCTGCGTTTTCAGAAGGCAAGCACATTCGATCTATGAACTTGTCTAGATGCCTCTCGAGGTCGATTCATTTCAATGCTTAATTCTTCGCAAATGTGAAAATTGAAGTAAACGTTAGTATACGAAACTACTGTTTGTAGTTATTTGTGTATCAAAGTCAGTAGCTATGCCAGCGCCATCAGTACAGTTTCTCGTGGCAAAATTTGCAAGTATACGAGAAATTTGTACTTTTTTTTTAAATATCTTGTTAACAATGAAGAAATGTATCTTGGAAAAAATTAACAGGTGAAAGTATATGTAATAACAGAATATTTTTAATTTTTTTGTGTGTGTGGATGGGGGGTTAGTTTNTTTTTTTTTTGGTTGGGGTAGTTTGTTAGAGGTTATGATGTACAAAATCTTACATGAAAAATATGTTTAAAATTGTTCACCAACAACATTGCAATAAAAGCAATTTTAGCTCTTTTGAAATTTCTCATGTAATAATACACTATAAGTAAAAAAAATTAATTATGAAGTAAGTTCTTAGCTATGATTATCCTTTTTACCTTTTCCTTATATGTGTATATATGAAAGCGTGGCAGGCATGGTTGAGTGTTGTTGAGTCACGCAAATAGCAGTTGGAATGCAAAAATATTTTATTTAGCTTTACATGGTATATTCAAAACATTTTCTATCAATGGCGGAGCTCAAATTCGCACTCCGAAACTGTATGCTTGAGTTTTTATCCTAGGGAAAGTAGCAAATGAATTTTCTTCTATTTTATTATATTTTAGGGAAAAAGGGAAATCTTAGTAATTACAATTGGTGTATTAAATTGGTCGTGCGATTCCCACACAGAGTAAAGGGAAAAATTTCTTGAGCCAAAAATAGATTTAGGGACAGGATGTGAATTTAAAAGTGTTTCGATTGAAATAATAAAATAAAATAAAAGGATTTACAGGGATATATAAAGGATATATAATACATATACAATACATATATATATTCATATATATGGGTAATTCTCACGAAATATGACAATTCACTGTCCCTTGTTCCAAGATCTAATACTATAATACTAAAAGAACTTTTTTTTTTAAATTTTTTTATAAATTGCATTGCATTGCTGTTAGCATTTTAAAATGACTTTGCACTAGCATTGACTGTTTTGTATAGTTGAAAAATTTAATTGAACTTTAAAATGTCATTTTCCTGACATGTTCCAAACAATGTTTCCAATAATAACTAGCTTCAAAACTTCCCACAAATTTTTCAATACCTAATTTTTTTAAATCTCAACCGGTGTAAGCATTTTTTGAATATACGCGGAGGGTATTATTCATAAAAACTTCGTTTAAATTTTTTTTTCTGTCAATAACTTGTTTGTCTCAAGAAAATCTGTCATTTTCCTGGCTACTTTTATTTAGTGGTTTATAACCAAAATAGATGGAGCCAGCAATCAATATCTTATGTTAATAGATTGATTAGATACCCTCCTATATGAACATGTCTTGTTGCATGAATAAAGAACCAATTTTCTGGTTCAAAATCTATTTCAAAAATTTTTTCAAGATTAGTAGGTTTTTGTGTTGTCATTTTCCTGGCTTCTTGAAATCATTAATAACGTAAACGGCATAGATTCATCTGAGTTATTTTAAGAAATCCTGTTGTTTTCTGCAGAATGTAAACGTCTTAGGCCAAAATATTAAATTAAAGTAAAGTTATATGCTATAAAATGGCAAATTTGTTATTATCCTGGCTGTCGTTTTCCTGGCTTATGAATTCCAGGACATTGAAGTGTTACCAGAATTTTTTTTTAACTGCTAATACTGTAAGGAAGAAATGCAAATATTAACCCAATACCAAGTTTATGTATGATTGTAATATGGTTGGATGTAATCAAAGTTATTTATTTATTTAATGATTGATTATTATGCACAATTTTATTCTGTACATATCAGCAACAAAAAAAAAAATTGATTCTTTCTACAGTGGATAAAAAGAATTAATTTAAGCAATTTAAATTATTAAACAATCTAACAACAAGGCTTAAGTTGAGTTACTTACTATTAACTTAAAATGACTGTTTTTTAAACTTCTAAGCTAATATGTCATTTTCCTGGCATTTAAGATTTGGTGAATTTCTATTTTATTTTTTTTCTCGAGCAAATGTCAATAAACTACATTGCTGTCTGTAAGATATTAATAAATGTAACTGAAGAAGTATACGAAAAAAATTTTAGATTATTTTGAAGACTTTAAATTCGAAGAAATGTTTTGGTCCGAATTGTCATGTTAAAAAAGAATCACCCATATATATCTTATATGGCTGCCAGTAAAATTTTAAAAGCATGGCAGCATTTCTTTGGCTATTTTATATCAACAGTTTCTTTTGCTGCGAACAATACTTATAAATGATGTTATTTTAGGAACTGGTCTTCTAAATGATATAGGATATGGAAAAGGAAAATATTACACTATAAATGTACCTCTGTATGATGGTATTCAAGATGCTCAATACATAGAATTAATTATTCCGTAAGTATGCTTTTTTTTTTTTTTAAACGTTTATGGATTAATATTTTTTTTAACGTTTGCAAATATTCATTTTGGAAGAAAATATTTCACGTTTAAAAAAAAGGACCATGTCAGGACCTGTTTTGACAGATTATATTTACTATTTCCTTGTTTCTAACTTATGTTCTTGAAGGAAAAAATAGTTTGAACAGGGCTCGAGAAACCGCCCGTCCTCGGCAGTCAAAAATTCCCTGCGGACGACCATTTTCCCATTAATGTTCGTGATACATTTTCAATTTTTGTTATCTTACAAGAGTCTAGCTCCTTACTTCTAAAATGACCCTCTAATCTCCAAATACAGCAACATACTGCGCATGGTGGAATTGATGTTTTCTCTGTGTGGGTGTACTGCAGCGGTTGAAAGTGGCTTTTCAGCAATGTACTTACAAAAAAACGCATTACTTACTGGTCTTCAACAAGAAGCGTTAAACGCATTTATGAACATCTACCAAAATGGAAAACCTCTTTCAGATTTCTGTGCAGAAACCTCTGTAAATCATTGGCTTGATTGTGGAACTGGCAAACGTCATATTTGATTCATTTAAGAAACGCAGTACCGTCGGATAAATTGGCATGATAATTGACAGATAACTTAACCTTTGTTATTTAAATTATTTCATCAAAGAAATAAATTATTTCATAATAGAAATACTAGGTTTTACTATTAGTAACCTAGTATTTCTTTTATTACTGTATAATGTAATCCTAGTATTTGTAATCCTAGTAACTACTAATTCATTGTGCAATTTATGTAAATGTTTGTAATAAACAAGAGAAAATAATATTTTTATTTATTTAGAAGCGACGGGTTAGTTTCAAAGGAGGACGGGTAAAATTTCTGAGTTTTTTCGAGCCCTGAGTTCGAATATGCTGTGTTATATTCAAACCAGAGGTTTATTACAATTTATCCATAGTTATTACAACTTAATAGTCAAGATTATGGTCTTTTGGTTGGGTAATAAAAATTACAGATTTGAGAATTTTCATTTAAAATGCGTTTTTCATGTGTTACTTAACTTAGATTTATTTTTTGTTTATTTATTTTATTGTAACCGTGATATATTTTTGTTTTGTGTACCTGGCAACTTTGATGCATAATTAGGTTGTTTATGTTCTATATGGCTTTATGCCGGTCTTTTTGTTAAGTTGGAAATATAAATTGAAATATTTGTGAAAGAATGTGTCACTTAAGAGAATTGATATGTCTTGGCATACTCAAAATAGAATGGAAAGGATAGTTGCTAACATAAACAAATGTTACTTTTCAACAACCAGACAGGATCGAGATAGCCACACTACGTCACTTGAAAGTATCCCATTCTAAAAGCTATAAAGAATTAAAATGATTGGCTGGGATAGCCTGGTTGGTAGGGCGCTTGGCCCATGTCCGAGACTTTGTGGGTTCGAGCCCCGCCGGTTGAAGACTCGTGTAGTAAAATGGTGACTGATGCACGTTAAATCTGTTGAGTTGCAAAGTCCTCCATGTTCCCATAACAAATCAGTACCTCTTGGGCTACTGGATTGGAGATCGATTGTTCTCTGATTCAGATCAAAATTAGGATCTGTGGATGAATGAATGGATGTATGAATGGCTGTGCCCTATAAACGGGTATGACATATGGGGTGACAGAAGTCGAATTCTTGGCCACAGATGGCGTCACTGGAAAACAAGAACAATCGCACCGCTCTGTCTAAACAGGCATAGGAAAGCAAGCAAGTAAAATGATTTGATGAAAACGAGAAATAGAAATTAACAAGATCAAAGAACACCATTTCACCATCCACTTAAGCTGTTTCTAAAAAAACAATAAATGCTAGTTTAGAATGTAATCAAAAACTAGACTCAAGACACTATTAAATAAAAACTTTTTCTATTTAATAGTGAAATTCATACACAATTTCGTTAGTAATATTTTGTACCTGTGTAGAATTGAGTAGCATATATGCACCTTAAAATTGTGCTAATTAAAATTGCGTTAACACTAATTTCCATTAACAATATTTCTGTGTTATTATGCTTCTAATAACAGATAGCTAGTTTGGAAATTTGTCACATTTGCATAGTTTTATTCCTATGAGGTTAATTAAACTATGAAAGCATCTCTCTCTTTATTAAAAGTTCTGCATTAAATTATGAAACCCAGATTTCATAATGCTTTATTTAAGTCCAGAATTGTCTCTAGGAAAAAAAAGGGCAGGGTGCTTCCTCTCTGAAAAGGGCGCTTAAAGTTTTGACTTAACACTCACTTAACATCGCAAATATTTATCAAAATGTGTAATAACTGAATTTTATCCTCACCAATTTATAATTTATCGTCTCATGCTATTTTATGAGTATATTTCAAAAAGTAATTCTTTCTTTATATCAAAATGTGAGACAAATTTGTTGTTTATAAAAACGATTAAAGGGATGCTGAAAGACAATCTCTGTGCATATTTTTTTTTCAAAATAAATATTTAAAAAAAAATGATTAATTGATAAACAGCTTGAAAGCTTTTTTCTATAACTTAAACTGAAAATTATGAGAAAATAAACATTTAAAGTTGTATTTTTTTTCAAAAAAAAATTATTTTTTTTTAAAAAAGATGTATTATTCCCCCCTCCTGAAAAAAGATACCACTTGAGAATCATCCTAACAAAGTAAATATTTGTAATAGTAATCAGAATCAAACCTAGAAACAGATAATTTTACCAAAGTGTAATTATTTAAACAGTGAATTATTATTTTTTCAAAATGGAATCTGAATAAAAAGGCAATGTTTTTAAGGGATGGTGGCTTATTTTCACAAAAAGAGCCTCATTTATTTGGATCAAGGGTGCAAGCAGGGCAGGTGGACCTTCAGAAAATTCTTAGGGAGAACACTATTTAAGTCTTTAGAAAGTACTCGGTTTTGTTTGAAAAGTTGTGTGGGAATCCTGTGTAGTGTATCTACCACTACAAAAATACAATTCAAATTCACTAGTATGTGAGACATGTTAACTCGATTCTATGGAGAGGTACCTTTCCATAGATGAAGGTTGACATTGACGATAACTCACTTCCCACTTTGGTGACCTTCTGACGTGATGTGCACGCCTACCTTGACAGGAACACCAACTAGGATTTGAACACGCCTACTTCGATGGATGGTGCACATTGAACAGTTGACTTGCGACATTGGCCTTCCCATGCTGTTGCTTCTCAGTCTCAATCACTCACAACATACAACGTATACACTCGACTACTAAAGGCAACACAGGAGCGACCACGACCGTTTACTTAATACAGCTCTCACAATCAACACTAAAAAAAAGTACGGTGATCTTAATGCTACTCTCCTGGCTTCTCACAAAACAGCTATGAACCAACTAGTGGTATCCATTCATCGAATTATATCAGAGATATAATTCTTGTTTGGGAGTACTGTAGTGTATATATCTACCATTCCAATTCACTAGTATGTGAGACATGTTAACTCGATTCTATGTAGGGGCACCTTTTCATAGATGAAGGTTGACATTGTCGATATATACTCTCCCCGCACCTGTAAATTTTAGCTAAATGTAGATATTGTGTAAATAAATGTGTTTTTCTTTTCTTCTGCAGACTTCTTATGAAAACGTATAGGAAATTCCAACCGGATGTGATTGTCTGCCAGTGTGGTGCTGACACTCTAGCAGGAGATCCATTTGCTGCATTCAATCTCACTTTAAAAGCCCCCTCCGAATGTATCAGGCTCTTCAAATCATGGAACCTTCCCCTTCTCATCCTGGGTGGAGGTCAGATTCAGCATTTTATACCTCTTCCAAATTTAACTATTCTCCACTGCTAATAAGGAACAAGTAATATGAAAAAAAAATATTTTTAAAGCCAATGCCTACTTACTTAGGTCAACAAATTTTATTTGTTATTTTAGTTACTTTTTATTAAAATTTTTCCCCCATATAAAACTAAAATTAATTAATTAATGAAATAATATTTGAAAAAAATGTATTTAAACTTGAAGGGATGAATAAAAAGTATTTTATTAACGATTGAAAAAATTTGAACAAGACATATAAATATGCATAGGGAGAGTATATTAATAGGAATAGAAATAAACAACTCAATATCAGACAACTATTAAAGTATAAATTTGGTGACGTGGACCACATGTGCTACCACATAACGCTCTTTATTGAATTTATTTGACAGAGCAAATATAAAATAATTAAATATTTAAATGTGTGCAATAAACTATTTTTTTGTTCAAATAGAGCTATAAGTTTGATATTATCACTGATGTTATTTTTAAAATATGTGACAAACTGAATCACTTATAGTAAAATTTAAAACAATGACTAACGCTTACCAGTTAGAAGATCCCATTTCATTTTTCGCTCATTCCTATTTAATGAATGAATCAATATTTGAAAAAAACTGTATTAACATCATCCACTACAAGTTTACAAAGCATAAGGAGAGTGTCAACTAATAGTAAGAATTGAAAAAAAGTTCTTTTGGGAACCTAGCAGTTTTTTTTAATGAATTCTGACGTATATTTTTCAATTTCAAAGTGACTAAACTAAGGTTAATATGGAAATACAGTCTAACCTCTTTTATGTTAAATCGGCGGGACTATCAGAATTATTTAATCTTATCCGATGTGTCGTGAAAACAATTTATTACGCATTATTACAACACGTTATGTACTACATTAATGTGTGTAAACAGTATTATTGTGCACCAAACAAATTAAAATAAGCTTAAAAATTTGAACTATTTTAATTTTATTCTTCTAATTTATTTTTCCATCTGCTGCTTCTTACAATGAGGAAAAATAGAAATATCATTCGTCAAAATGAATAATTGACGCTTTATTCACATGCTTATTATCTACTCTGTGTCCAGTTTCCTTTCATGTTAAGCGATAATCAACTTTGAAATTTCATGCTTAACATTTAAAATACAATAATAATTGATTGCTGACTCACGGGACCAAACATGTATTTTATTTAAACCGATATTATGATGAGGTTTGGCTGTATTTGTTTTTTTCATTGTCAATAATAATTAATTTAGGGGTTCAACATAGATGGTGTTTTCTACACTAGGGAGTGCTCTTTACTTCCCATACTTACCGGTTACTGTTTTTGGCATATTTTGAAGTCATTTGGCTCACAATGTGATCATTGTGTTTTTAGACTCTCTTGAATAGTATTCCTTGTATGCGTCTATTTTTTAACTGATTTATTATTTGTGTTTAAAAAAAGAAGAATCGTCGTTTGAAGACCTAGCATGTTGCTAGCTAACAAATTTAATTTAAAATGAATTTAAATATTCTGTCTGAATCATAATAATATATGAGCATGAACTAGCTTTAAAGTGTTCATCATTAATGCCGGCACCACTTTTTTGTTTGATAAGATAACTTACAGAATAAATATTCTTTAAATACATTTATCTCATTGAATATGTAAGTCAGTGTTCCCCAACCCCCGGTCCGCGGACCGGTACCAGTCCGTGGATCAATTGGTGCCGGGCCGCCCATTTCATTGAAACTGAATTTAAATTCCTAGGTTTATACCCCAAATTAAAAATATATGTGCTCCATTAAAAAAAAATTTATTTTAAAAAAAGGGGCCCCCGAAGGTAGTGACATAAATTTTTTATTGTTTTAAAAAGTCAAAAAAAGAAAAAGAAAACCACCGCAACTATTTTCTCCTTCAATTAGTTTTAATAAAAAAAATCAATCATCATAACTTTAAATATCATAAATAAATCATGAAAGCGCGGTGCGAAATTTACATTGGAACTAATGAAGAAAAGTAACAGCAACCAAAACAAAGCAACGGAATAAACTGGACATAAGCTACACACTTCGGGTGTCATTGTCTCCAAATCCCCAGATGGAACCGTCTCATTGCAAAGAAACAAGTTCAGGGTTCTCATTGATTAACGTTCTAGTAAGCTAAAATGTTAAATCCCTTTACATTTATTTTTTGGGGTAACTGTATTTTATTTTGCAGACATGTTTAAATGCAATTAAATTAAAATTAATAAATCAAAATAATCTGAAATAGAAACAATCAACATCCCACCCCAAGCGGGCCGCGGTAAAATTATCAAACGTTGACCGGTCCGCGGTGATAAAAAGGTTGGGGAACACTGATGTAAGTGACCGGACTTTATGTTTCTTGATTGAATGTATGAAATATGGATGTTAGGAAGGAAATAAACTAAAAAAACTTTGTTATAATGAAACAAAATTGTATATTGCCAATTTGTATGTATTACAAACATAAAGAATAAGAATTTTTCATTCATTGCTCAACGCATTTTTTAAATATGCAGGATGTTTCCATTGTACATTTTCCGCAAACATATTTCTTCTAATTATTATTTCTATAATTATAACAATATATAAGAAATATACGAATATATAATTCTTATAATTAATATTATTTCTCCTAAGATTCTGTCTTGAATGTCTTGATTGTTTCAACATTTTTCAGGGTAAAAACTAACAATTAGTTAGAGTGAAGTAAAGCTATCAAAATAAAATATAAGCTGCTTACTAAAACATTTAGTTTTTGTCTCTTTTTCTTATACAAAAATGCCAATCTAAAATTTTAGGTACTTTCTTGAAATTTGAATTCACAGTTATTCTGATTGAACTAACTACGTAACAGAACAGTCTTTGCAGAAATGTGCAATTAATCGAATGCAATCCGTTGAACACGCATTACATCGTCATTTTTGATCTGATAACCTTATAAAGCAATTAATTGTTCTCCCGGTCAAATGACTGGTTGTGGTAGAAGTAGGTATGCGAAAAGTATTATTCGAAACAAACAAAATACAAAAAATAAATAAATTAACAATAGAATATTAACTGTATATAAATGTTAGAAAAAGATATGAAGTCAAATGTGCAAAAACGGTAAGATGATAAGCGCATTTTCGATGCCAAAGTTCTTAAACGGTCGTTTGACCAGTTATGGTACGTTTAGTGTTAAAAGTTTCATTTCTAAAATGAAAAAAAAATTCAAAGGAACAAGCGGGAAATAAGGTAATTTTTAGAATTCTATAAAAAAATATTCATAATTCCATGTTTAATGAAATAATAATAATAAAATGCATCTGATGACAACTGGCAGATGATACTTTAATTATAATCAGTTGCCCCTATGTTAATACATTTTGAATTGCTGACTTGTAATTTAAGTTTCTTGATTTCTCCCCCTCTCTGTTCTTTAGGTGGTTACAATGCAGTGAATACTGCAAGATGTTGGACATATCTTTTGTCTATTTTAGTTGATAAAACAATTGAATCTGACATTCCTGATCATAAGGTATACTTATTTCTTTTATTTTATGAATAAATTTATACTTCCATATTCACTCTTTAATAAATCCAATTAAAGAGAGTTAACGCAATGAGTTGGATTTACATTATAATAATTTTAATTGTGTTTTTTCCCTCCAGTATTTGATGAAATATGGGCCAGACTATGAGATCCATATTTGTCCCAGAACTATGCCCAATAGAAATTCAACTGAGCATTTAAAACTAATCACTGATACTGTTTTAAGTAAGTTTCATTTTTGTTTATTCATATGTTCATAGTTCGAATACAACTCAGGGTTATTTAAATTTCTATGTTTCTCATTTCTCTAGCAATAATTTAGTAGCCTTTCAAAAGGAAGACTGTCTTGATACAGTAAGAACAGCTAAAAAAGAAAAGAATACTTCAAAAGAAAGGCATAAAAAAAAATCTTGATGTAGTTTCTCAATGTGGCATTGAACAGAGCAGAAAATAATAAAAACAAATGTACACTATAAATAACTTTTGATATAATTATTGGATTTTCATGCATAAGAACTCAATCTTAATGGTTTGAGGCCCTAACAAAACATCCAGAAAGTAAAATTAACACCATATTTTCCAGATCGGCTACTTATATTTTCATTTATAACTTACGTTTAAACAGAGGTGATTGTGAGTCCATCTCAAAAATCCTGAAAATTCCTTGAGTAAAATCATTAATGACACATTTTAAAAAATTTATGTCTTTGTAAATTTAAATCATTGATATTTTCAGAACATTAAATTCTAAATAAATTATATACAGCATAATTTAAATGAATAATTATGTATAAGTTTACTTTTATCTTCAATCACATTTAGTATTCTACCAGAAAAAATATTTACAAATGAAAGATTCCAAGTATAAATTCAAGTTCTAATATTTTTAAATAAAATATACAAGAATTTTTCTACATAAATGCGATGGATGATTTCTTGAAACTTCTGGACCTAGGATTTCCGGAGTGCGGTTAGGGAAAAATTTGGACTTTTTCCGGAGCACAATCATCTCTGTTTAAAGGGAAAGAAATCAAAATCAGTTGGGGAAAAAAAAGGTATTCAGTGAAAGTACATTGTTGTGTGACAAAACATAGAGGTTCAAGAAAGGTTAGTCAAGTTATTTAAGGTTTCTTCATGTATCAATCACTTTTTGTATATGAGCATTAATGAATTAAAAGCAATTAAGAGGGAGGAGGCGATAAAAATTAGAATTTTAAATCAACCTGAAACATAAGAAATAATGAAAATAAGTTTCTGAATACCCAGCGCACTAATAATCAGCAGAAATTAAGGAGTGCACTTTAAACACTGTTTAATCTCTGTTGCTGAGGAGCACATGCTCTTTGATGAAAGGTAAGAAAAAAATTAACTGAACTGGTCAAGTCGGCATGAATATAAAAATCTTTTTCCATCACTATTAATTAGAAAATTAACTAAATTTCTAACTTTTATTTTATAACCGTCGTTGAACAGCCGACCCAATTTATGGGTTTACGACTACTAATGTTCAACTCTGTAGCCTTGTAATTTTGAACCCAATCCAGAAGACAAGGGAACTCCTGGATCGAGTATTGAAAGAAATTTGCCTTCGTGGAGGACTTTTTGCTGGAGCTAACCTGCATTTGCGTTGCATGGAGAGGAAGACCACGAGAATCTCCCTGATGGCAAGGGGACTCTAGCCCATGATCCGTCTACCACTGAGGATATTTCACGTCAGCACTGTGGTCAAGCCGGATGCGGAATTTGTATCGACCAGCCATCGCCGGGATTGAACCCCGGTTCACCTCATTGGAAGGCGAACGCTCTATCCCCTGAACCATAGAATAATAGTACAGGCTAATTACTCAATTTTTTAAAAAAGAAATTCATTAGCCAGAATTTTGAAGTGTACAATTCTTCAACATCGATAAATTCTTTTTCATTAGTTATAGCCATTTGTAATTGCCATATTCATTTCAAATCACAATATATTTCTCTGATAATGAACTTGTGGGGAGAGTAGATATAGACAATGCCAACCTTCATCTATGAAAAGGTACCCCACCATAGAATCGAGTTAACATGTCTTATATACTAGTCACAAGGAATTATATTTTTGTAGTGGCAGATACACAACAAAATTTTCTAATGCTTATCTTTTATCTTAGGGAATATAGATTACATTCAAAGTTCAGCTCTGGAAAGCTTTGGATTATGAATATAAACTGTGCCAAAAGAAAAAAAGATTGTGATTCTATAATTGTGTCCTCCATCGAAGAATCCTCTGTTCAGGCTGGAATCTTCTTCATTGTGTGTCCCTATTTGTGTGTGTGTTTCCACTCCTGATTTGTGTGATGCCAACTTATTTTAGTTGACCCTCGTGTCTCAGTGAATGATGCTCAATTCTTCAACTCTCATTTGTTCATGATGTATGCATGTTCATTATAAATAAATTACTTTTCCATACAAAATGTTACAGGAATCTTAAAAATAGTGCCCTTTCTTTAAAGGATATTTGAAACCTGGAAATACCTACGTTAACTAGAGACGAGTTCGGACTCGTATTCGAACCTGAAACACATAATTCGAGCCCTTTTACATATCAGATAAAGGCCAAAATTCTAAGAAGATATAAAGCAAGAATTTGTAGAAATGTATGGTACATCCTTCGCAATTATCGATTTTGGAATCATTTAATAGTTCTGAATTCTTATTAAAATAAAATAATTTGGCATTTTTCTAATACTTAATAACGAAAGAAAACAAATTTCTTTGTATTTATTTAGTTTTGGAAAGTAAATTCCACGAACTCTGCACGAAGCTTAAATCCTATTGTAAACATGTTACAATATTTTTAGTACACCTATTGCTACCTAATTACCTTTAACATGGGTGCCATTCTAAAAAAATTTCAAGACTGTATTTTGACCAATTAATACAATCTAGCATTTATCAGAAATTTGTAGCTCCCTGACATTAAAATGTACCTTCCCATAATAATGGCACAAATATTTTCATGAAGCTATTTATGTCAACCTTTTTTTTTTTGCTTCATCATTATTTATTTCTTATCTTATCCTCATAATTTTCTTTTAAATAATCCTAACTTTGGTCATTAACTAAAACGTCAGGGGAAAATGAAAACTTAAACAAATTTAGATACAACAATAGTACAAATTTTGCTTACACAAGTAGGTGCGCTAAAGTTCAATCAATCCCATTTTTTCATTGCGGTGCGACATCATTACTAGATCACTTCGCAATAATTATGAAAAAGAACAATGTTTTCATTAAAATGTAATATTTGTAACATTTTTAAGGTAAAAAGGACATTTTAATTTTCAGAACAAATGGAAAAAGAGATATATTGATGAATTTTAGTCTCATGATATTTTCAGAAGACCCCCGTGGCAGAATCGCAGCAACAATGTGGCAGAACGTTACAGAGTTGTGCTTCCAGAAAGATTTTTCTTTTGAAAAGTAAAAAATTGAGTTTTTTTTTCTACAGAAGTTTACCATAATATTTGAATCGCGCATTTTGATAATCACTTTTTGACGCATTTAATTTATGCCAACAGTATCGTAAATCCATGTAATGTATCGATAGTATTTTTGCCAGTTATTGATATTGATTTTCACATGGTTTTTAAATTTCTTGATATATTTCAAACAATGTGGAAAATTGGAATCGTGCATTTGAGTATTTACTTTTTAAGCCGATGATTCTATCGAATTTTTGGCAGTTATTGCTATTGATTCCTCAGTAGTTCTTAAATCCAATATTTTTTTATGCGATATTACAATTATTTACTATGCATTTGAGTAAACCCTTTTTGTAGAGTCCAATGCACATAAATTCGTTGTCGATTTTTTTTTTTTTTTTTTGTGATGATTATTTACAAAATGCGAAGGAAATAATTTGTACATAACCCTCTCAACAAAATGCAAAAATATCACCCATAATATTAGAATAAAAAATTATTACATGTTCAATTAAAAAAAAATTATAGTTTTTTTTGTATACACAGTGCTTTTGTTAATTATTTATAAAATTAAATTAGTAATTATTAATAGTTATATAGTAGTTAGTAATTAAATTTGTCACATATATGTTTGTTATTATTAATAGTATCTTGCAGAAAGATATTAGTGCTAGACAGTTTTGTTGCAGATAGCTTGAAAAAATTCTGCCACAGGGCTCAAGACTAATTTCAGTCCCCTGGACTAAAGAATTGCACCCATGCCTTTTAGCTATTAGGCAAATTTTTTGTCTTAATTTTGTGAGTAGATCTTGAAATGCTTTGGACCATGTAAATTACAAAGATACAGAAATATTTTATTTTAAAACAGAATAAACATTTTTACAACAATATGTACAATGCAAGCCTTATTCTGGGAATAAAGGCTCTTTGCTTAAAAATTGATTTTTCACAGCTGTTCGTGCAAACTGGGTTAACGCCCATTCCACATCTGAAATTCCAAATTCATCAAGAGTTCCCCTTTTTATTTCAAACACTGAATGAAAAAAAGAAAATAAACATGAGTATAGAAAAAGAGTAGAATCAATAAATTAATTTTATGAAACTAAACAGCTACTGCACAACACCAATAGACATATATGTTACCACTAAATTGTAGAATTCAGTTATGTCAACAAAATATCTAGCTAAAGTACAGATTACAAGATTGCCACTCAAATCAGTGAAACAAAAAAAATTCCCCGTGTTTTCCCTGTACATATTATACACAATATCTTAAGGGAAAATACAGAATCACTGTGCTGTTGAGTGACTTATACTAGTGTTAATTGCTAGAAAAACTTATAAGGAAGAGCTTAACATACTTAAAACAAATAATGCTATAAAAAATGAAATGGTTTAGTATAGCTGAAATATTATCCTTAAATGTCACATAGATTACACTTTGAGTGGTGGCCACTTTCTAAAAGACGAAAAGAAGAAATAAAATTCCCTGTATTTTCCCAGTTTGAAAGGAAAAACTCAAAAGTAAAATTCCCTGCATTATGCCTGGCGATTTTTAAATTCCCTGTATTTTCCAGGTTTTCCCAGTGGAGTGGCTACCCTGAGATTAATAAGAGTGATCCGTGTCATTTCCCAAATTAAAAAGACAATCTAAACATTGCTAACTAGGTAGCTGTTAAAAGTGAAAATAAGATCTGTACTAGAACAACAGCAATGTTTTTGCAAGCTAGAATTAACATTATTGCTATTTATTTTTCGCTATCTGAAAAATCATGTTACTACAACCAACACATTAGTTGATATAATCAATTACTTAAAAAACTATAATATAAAGAATCAAAGGTTTAAAATATTATTACAGATTAAGGAAATTAGTATCATTTATTTAGTTTTCGGTATCGAAAAAAATACAAATAAAAAAATACAATATAAGTGCGGCTTTCAGGAGAACTCCTCCAGACATAAATCTCGTGTCGCGGCGGGTACTATAGTTACGAGAAAAAGTCACTTCAAATAGAAGTGTGTGGTAAATAATTTAGTCTTAATCTTGGCATGGGTTGCCACGAGTAAACCCATCGGCACCTTCATTCTGCTATTGCAGCCCTATTAGAAGTCTGCTCTAGCATGTTACCATAGCAGCAGACAGACTTTTAGTCTGGATGAGTTCCCTTCAAACTCGCACAGAAGTTGATATCCTTCTTATTTACAGATTAGAATGAGATAAACAAACTTTTGAACGATACAGAAACCTCCAAGTGCACACTTTAATTAACCCGCAGCTTAGCTAGGTAATGAGCATATTAACAGCTTTAGTGGTAACATTTATTTGGCTGTAAATAAATAAGAGACTCCATTTCCATGGCATTAGGGAGATTCTGCAAATTCACAGTAGCTTCTGCATGCAAGATCTTAAGAAATTGTGCGCCCGTGAAAAATTAACAAAGCAAGCATTTAAAATTCGTGTAGATGATGACATCCGAGATTGTCGCAGAATATCATTATATCTGTATGTCAACAAAACAAATATATAAAAAAAAAAACGGAATTTCTATAGCAATAAATTTATTTTGAAAACATATTAAACTAGTAGACATACTCTCACAAACAAAGTGAAAAATGAGTAACGAAAAGAATGAATAACAAATAATCAGCTTCAAAAGAAACTTAAATTCTCTTTAAACAGATAACGGATGACGTCATGATCCACGCGAGAACGACCAACAGCAAATGAAGAGAAACTGGCTGATCCCCGCAGACCATCACGTTACTGCCGTAAGTTGAATGCACAAGATCGTCATCTTAAAACGACTGACGAAGATCGAACTTATACCCTCACTCAAAATAGAAAAAACCCTTTTAGCATTTATTTATCTAACAGATGATTTCTTCGTTCAACCAACACAGTTCATTTCTAAATGTCATCAATACATTTCTTCAAATTCGCATTCCATGTCCATGTTTTAGGTTCAAAGGTAGGCTTAAACAGAAAACAACCTTTAACAGCTATAAACAGCGTGTTTGCTGTTTTGTCTTTGTAGCATTAATCACGCAAATGTAACGTAAAGATAAGTAGCATCTAAAATAAAAGTGAACATGCGCAGTTGATTCAAATTTTATTTACAGGACGGTACATAAGTCAACGTAAAAGTATGAAATCTCCCTATTAACACAAACAGGGTAAGATTGCAAAACTTTGTTAGCATCAGCTGCTGGAATGTAATTACAATTAAATTCTGGCAATCAGTTGTTGATGCTCCAGACCAGTGGTTACCAACTGGCGACCTGCGAAGCCTTTTTTTCTGGCCCGCGAACTAAAATATATTAGTTGTCGTTTTTTAGAGGACAATTTTGTGAAAAGTCTATATGGGTTTAATAAATATTACTATATGGGTTAATACATTTCTTCCATTTTAAAAAACCTAATTTCTTCGTTTCTCTGAAATTTAACATACAAACAGTGCAAAAAAATTTATTTATCAGGTTTTGCATCCAAGAAAACATTTATTCAAATACAAAAATAATCTAGTATGTTGCTCTTTTTTATTACGTTTTTTTCTTTTTGTATTTTGTGAATATAATTTAGCATGAGCGTATCAGAAATTTTCTCGAAGAAATTCTCCCATTCAACTTTTTGAAACCACTCATTTTGGACAAAATTATGATTGCATGAATATTCTCATGCGATATTCAATATTGAATTGAATATAGCAGGAGCAGAAAAGAAAAANGATGAGTCCAAATTCCGCTTTTTTCGTTCTAGTTTAAAATGGTGGGAAAATCGAGCAAAATTTTTCCCGGTTTTCTGGTTTCCCGGTTTTCTGGATACGGAAAAAATGGTTCTCTACTGTATTTGTTTAAAAAATTATGTAAAGGACCCAGTTTTTTTCAAAAGGACCCAGTTTTTTAAAAGTCATGGGTCCCAGGGACCCGGGATTTTGAAAGCCTAGTGTCTTCCCTGAACAAGCATTATTTGTAATGCCTGTTATTTTGCTTTTTAATATTAAAAAAACTGATAAAAATCTGACAGTAGTATTCAATGNAAGTTTCTGATTAAGAGAAGATTCAAAACTATATGTAACAAGCATTATTTGTAATGCCTGTTATTTTGCTTTTTAATATTAAAAAAACTGATAAAAATCTGACAGTAGTATTCAATGTTCCTTCAAACATAAAAAGAGTCCATCACAAAATTTTGATAAAGTTGCGGCCCGCCATTTGACTGGCGTTTTTAATTGCGGCCCCCGGCCACAAGTAAGTTGGAAACCCCTGCTCCAGACTCTCCATTTAGGAAGAACGGAGCATTTCTCCGTAGCGGAATCGGAAATTCATGTTTTGCTTGGAATTTTCTCAGGCTGGTGTTCAGATGAAAACGACTAAACAGTTAGACTAAAATTTTAACAAATTATAGTTGATTATTTTTCTTTTAATGTAGCATTCCAGTGCTTTGATTTCAGAAATGGTATTAATTTGAAATCTTTAGTGGGCCAGTGACTTCAGAAGGCTGCTTCAAGGTTTCAAATCCTTGTGTGAATAAGACTGTTGATTTTTATTGAACTTCTCTATGTACTTTTAAATTTCATTGTATTTAACTATTAATTCTTAATGTTTCATTTTTAGTTGAAGTACAAAAAATAAGGCACCGACCATAAAGAAAGGCACTTTTTAAACATAATTAACATCGGTAAATTTTTTAAAAGAATAAGTTTTGTGGAACACCAAATAAAAAACTATAGGCAAACTTACGTCGTAACAAAAAGCGTGGTCCTAATTCAGTTAACTGGATATCTCTTTTGTCATTGTAATGATGAACATGATGCCTGCAAGAGAAAAAAAAGTTTATATCATAGCTGCCAACATGGATAAGAAAAAATCAAGTAGATTTTGTGAAATAATCAGGATAATTGTTGCATAATATACTAAATATTTTATACATAGGGATTTTTATTTTTAAAAAAAATTTAAAAAAATTGCAATATTTTCCAGTTATAATTGACATTAAACATACTTGAAATGTTATGTATTATGTTTACTCATAATTTCGAATATTAATAGGCATTTAATTCTTGAAAGATAAATAAAAGATTTTTTTTAATTAATTTAAAAAGAGAGTTCTAAATAAAAATAAACTGACCATTTTAGAAAAAAAAAAGTTTTTGAACTGATTTCTATAAATGAGGTTCGCTTCATTATGTTTTAGTAACACTTATTTAAATATTCAAGTAAGCAATCAATAATCTGTACAAAAATTCTATTTTAATAGGGATTTATTTATTTATTTAATTTTTTTGGGAAAAGCACGCTTTTGCATAATACGTGACGAAAATTGACTTGGTAAAGAAAAAAAAATCCCATTTTTGAAAAGAGAAAATCAAGCACTTCTTAAAAACACCCAGTGTAAAAAGCACTTTTAAGGGCTTTTAAAAGACGAAAATCGAAAATAAGCACCTTTAGGCACTTTTTAAAAATGCTTTAGGTACCTTTAGGCACTTTTTAAAAACGCTACGCACCATGTTTATAAATTATTGTCTCTGTCATTCTCATCATACTGTATAATTCAAAATAGAATATACGAATTCAAGAATAAAGAATTAATTTTTCTCTGATAACCATTCTCACAATATAAAATAGTTCTTTTTCTTAAAAAAAAAACAAATATCATTCAGAATCTTTAATTCAAATTCAACTTATGCATGTGACAAAAACTACTAAACTAGAAGACGCTGCAGACACGTGAATTCAACTGCCTAACATGAAAAAATTTATTGAAAAAATTTCTTTCAAATTAATTAATAGTATTTCTCTCGGTTAGTAAATCCACAGCTCACAGGTGCCAATAAACTTTTTTTTAAAGTCGGGATTTCGGAAAAAGAAGCTCGATTGTTTAGAAAATTCTATAGTCGAGAAAAAAAGACATTTTGGTCTAAAAACTAACTGGAAAATGCTAGCAGGAAAAAGGTTGGCTCGAAAAAAACTTTTTGAGAAGGCTAAGGCACACCCTGGGCTGTTGAGCCTTTGATGATGATAGTCGAGAAAAATTGGGAGCCAATGGTGTATATCAATAATGGAGAAATACTTGCTCTACCCAGAATAACTTAAAATAACTGTTTCAAATACACGGGTGCCAGTCTAAAAAAATTTCAAGACTGAACTTATTTTTAGACCAAATAATACTGTATATAATAGCATTGTGTACTGAACTTATAGCTCACTGACACCAAAATTTACCTTTCCCTGATAATAGCTTAGATATTAAATAAATCATTCAGTTATTTTTCTGCAAATTTTTTTCTTCATTTTTATGCTTTTTTTAGCGAACAAAAATAACAGCTAACCTTGTATATTATTTTAACCTACTACTGAACGACTAACTTTTCCCTGGAACCATTATTTATTTTTTGTTTTAGCAATACAATTTCTTCGTTTTTTTTATTTTAAGTAATCTTGATTTAACTTTGGCCAGCATTTCAATAGGTTTGGGTGGGGGAAGCAAACTTGAGCAGATTGACCCATTTGTCAAGACTTAAGACAAGTATAAGATTTAATGAGGCTGATAAAAGGAAGATAAATTAAAGTCCTGACACCATTAATATATCACATTGCAATAACAGGGTGTGTAGCCAAATCTCTCAACAAAAAATAAGCACTTTTTAAGCACTCAAAAAAAATTTTTAAGCACTACATACATTAACAAAATGCAAAATTACAGGATCATGATAAAATAACTAGGTTCCGACAAAAAAAACTCTTTCCTTGATTATATTAGCCATTACAAAATTATCAAAATTTTTTTCAGTTTCATATCAGAGGGTGGAAAATGAAGTCTGAAATTGAGAATACCTTGCAAAATGTAGCAGAATTGCACCTAAGAGTGCAAGAATCTTAGCTCTATCGTCGCACATGCGGACTCAGTATTTCATAAAACATGGAAAATGATTGGCGCTTTCATACGCTATGGACTGACGGTACGCCGAAATAGATAGTGGCTGACTGAACTGTGAAAAGGTTGAATAGAACAATGTGAAAAGTACGCTTTTTTCATAATACGTGGCGAAAATTGACATGGAAAAGAAAAAAAAATCTCACTTTCGAAAAAGGGAAAATTAAGCACTTTTCAAAAACACCCAATGGGAAAAACACCTTTAAGGGCTTTTAAAAAACAAAAATGGAAAATAAGAACCTCTAAGCACTTTTTAAAAATGTTACACACCATGAATAATTAAAAAAAACAATGAAACAATGTTTCCATTAAAAGATAATATTTTCTTTTATTTTGAAAAATAAAATTGTTAAATTGCTACTGAAATTTTTTTTAAATTTTATTGCTCGAATTTATTAGTAAATTGTGTCTTCTCAAGACTGATTTCAGTCCCCAATTACTAAAGAGTGGCACCCATGCGAATAAGATTTTATATGGGATTATTTAGTAGCAATTAAATAATATTAAGTATGATTAATACGCTTTATCAGATGCTTTGTAAAAAATCTGATTTAAATCAACCGATCCAATTGTTTTAATGAATTTATCACTCAGAAAAATCTTTCCTTCAAAGCAAGTTGGCATTAATATTATAATCCCACCCACAAGCGAACATTAATGAATAACATTAATTTCTAAAAGTTACATGAACATTTGTTTACCTGAACATTATCCAATCACTATTATTAAGGAAGGATATGACTCTTTTTGCTTCCTCTTTGGGAACTGGAAATAAGTGTTTCAGGATACTTTCAACCTAAAAGAAATTAAAAGATTTAAGAACGATAATCGTGTTGTAAAAATATAGTTGATATGCTCAAATTAAAAGTTTCTGAGAGTGACTTAATTAAACATAACTCAATCTTGTTGTTCACAATATTTAAAAATAGGATATCTCATTCAAATTTATTATTATTTTTGAATTTTTTAACTGGTCTTCTTAAATTTCACAGTTATGCATTTAAATATGTGTAATTTAAATGATGTGAAATTAATACATTATATAAATAAAAAAAAATTGTCACAGTTAAATTAAAAAAAAAATGCTTAACAATGTATTAGGAAATTAACTTTCAAACATTTTTCAGACCCTGGCTACAACTACATCCTAAGGTAAAGAATCAAAATATTACAGATGTAACAGATAATTTGAATACAAACAATCATAAAGAGAGAATATGCTCAGAGGTGCTCATATCATGATAATACATTGTTACAAAATTATTCGCTAATTGTACATTTCTACTTAACTAACTTATTAATTAAAACAAAATTATTTTTCTTTCAGACTTTTAACAATTAAGGCATGTAATAAGCTCAAATGGAAATGGGAAAAATATTCTCTGTAGCAAAGAGAGATCAAGGAATAAAATAATCAAAACCATTATGCATACAACATATGCACTAACTGTTATTTTGAAATTTAATAAAAATTCCTCATGCCCAATACCTTCCATTAAAACCAAGAACTGTTATCTCAGAGAAAATGATTTTACAATATAAGCATTTTAAATTTCTAACAAAATTAATATTCGTTACGTATTTTATTTAGCGTAATTAAAGCGTTACATCATGCAGGGGCCATCTATTACGATTTATCCATAATTATTAGCCAAGATTACTGTCTTATGGTTGAGTAATGAAAATTACAGTCTTTGAGAATTTCCGCAATATTCTGTTTAAAATAAGTTTTTTCCTTCCTATCTACCAAAAGTTATGAAAATTCGTCATTTGCAACTAATATACGATAATTTTTTCTACTCCTTCAACAATTCTAAAAACAATAAATTGAAAGTAACGAGAACTGAAAAAAAAAGCAAAGAAATCTCTTCCTCATTCAATAAGCTATTTTGAAATTCAATTTTCTCTCCTTATAGAAAAGTAAAGGAAAATAAACTCAAAAATGCTTAGCTGCTCAAATGTAGTATGATAAAGGTAATAAGGACTAATCCTAATTAAACCAAAAACTAGAACATTGATTCCTAGTAATCAATTAAATTTTATAATGAACAAAATTTCAGAGTTAGCTTAATTTTTAATTCATTACCTTTGTCTAATTGTCACATTTTATTTAATAGTAAATTTATGTATAATTTTATTATTATTTACCTTTATAAAATTTAGTCTATATATCTTAAAATTGTAAATACTAACTATATATTTCTGCGTTATTTAACACCTGATAGCCAGCTGGGAAAGTTAGCACCTCAGGTTATTAAATTACATTTATTGTCCTTTCTATTATGATTTTCTTCAGTCCTTATGTAAGGTTTTTGACAATTTAAAGCACTTTTTGGAAACTCATTAAAAACCAGTTTTGGCACCAAAAAATCAACCCTGGTACAATAGCAAGAATAGTAATTGAAATTTTTTATAAGTCGAGCTAACCCTTTTTCCAAGTTTTGTTCTGAAATTCTGAAAAATAAGATGAGGATATTCTTGAGGCATAGGTCCAATATTCTTAATATCATGTCGCAAAACTGCATTTAATACGCCAAATCTTGCAGTAGGTCCATGTGGTAAATGACTGACTATAAAGCCATCTAAAAAAAAAATTTGCAACCATTAAAATACATTTTGAAAATTAATACTTGTATAGATATCAAATGGGGACAAATATTTCATAATGAACAGTTCTGCAAAGAGCACTCTTAATGTATATATTTTTCTTTAATAAAAAATGAAGACCAATAGATTTGCACATTGGTAAACCCAAAATTACATTTAAATGATGAGAAAAAAAGCAATATCAAAATCTGACAAGTTATAATTGAGAAAGGAGGATGTACAGAACATCAAAACATATTTGAATGCAGATTCACACTTGAAGGTGTTATTGTCTGCCACCTCCTCTTTGTTTGCTTCTTCAATCAAACTGGTTTTGATAAATTCTACATAGGCTTTCATCATCTGTAATTTGTCACACTTCAATAGCAAATTACAATTATAATTACAGTATCTCAAATAAAAAAAAATATTATGTACAAGTGGGGGAAAAAACATCTCATGATCAAACCTTCCCATATCTATGGACTCACAAATATGTTAGTTATTTATTAATCAAGACACTAAATCAGGTACAAAAACTATTTCAAAACAGATATAACCCTAAATATTTCATTATTACATACAATAAAAGTAATTAAAATTACTTTAACTTTTTTAATCTTTTCCTTACATTACTAGGTTGCTCACCTTTGAAGAACTATACAAGGAAAAGACATAAAACTTTATGTGAGCGTTTTGCATAAGTTGTGGAACTTTTTAACAGACTTTTCAATTTTTTAAAACATTAAAACGATTTTTTTTGTATGTATAATTTTCATCTTAAGTATTAATTGAAAAATGTAGTTATATAATTAACTTTGATTTTATATGCAGTCAGCAAATAATGACAAAATACTTAGTTACATTTGAAGTTTCATTGTTTTAACTTTTTTTTTACAATTTTCGTAGATGGACAGGTAACATGATATCTAAAATGCCATTAAAACAGCTATTTGCTCATAATTTTTTGACTTGTACTTACATTGATTATTAGTTTTAAAATACCTTAATTCTGAGTCTTTCTTTCTGAATAACAGTTTTGTTTTACTTCTTTGAATCAATATAAATAAGGAGCTTAAATAGAATAATATATGAGTGTATGACTGACCTGGAACACCCCTTGTTTCAGTGACCATAATAAAATCGGTGACACCATTTGTTTTACATGCTTCAATTAATGTCTTGAAACTATAATTGCCTCTGTTCATCTTTTGAGAGTTTGGAAAAATCAACTTCAACTCCTATAAAAAATAATAAATATATCTAACACTTACAAAGTAAATACAGAGTTATGCTGTTATTATTGTTTTAAAAAATATTAATTTATAGTGATGCCATTACATTGATGCCACATACATACACTGGCAGGGAGAGAACCCCCACCCTCTTGAGATACTTCCGCGGTCACTGATCAGTGCAGAACTTGAAATAAAATTTTTCTCGCAAATTCTCTTTCATTACTAATTTAAAACCTAAAGTGTAGAAAAAGTGAGTTCAGACAAATCTAGAGCAGGGTTGGCAAGTTTTTGACACATGACGGTTTTTACCGGTTTATACCATGGTTTTTACCGTCATGTCAAAAACCCCTCTGTCAAAAAACCATAGTTTTGGTAAAACTGTATTTTTATTTGTGTATAACTGCTTGCAATTTAAAATTAATTCCTTTTAGGCAATATAATTAGGAAAAAAGTTGTTAAAAGATATTTAAGAACAGATTCTTGCATTTTCCCAACATGATTATATCAAAACATACTAGTCAGGGTTGGGTTTTTGACGTCAAAAAGTGGTTTTTGACACGACAAGGGTATAATACTGGTTTAAACCGTCAAAAACCCGTCAAAAATGTCAAAAACTGAAGTTTGCCAAGAAAATATATAAACTTCAAAACTACCAACAGTTGCCATGCATTATATTGAAATTTAATTATACTATAGGTAATCAGCAGGTTTTAAAATATTTTTTAATTAAAATTAAGGTAAAATAACAGATTTAAAATCTCAGAAATTTATATTCAAATGCATGTGCAGAAAAATTTTGCACAAAAATTGTTTAAATATTTATATTTAAAAAAATTTTTTTTTTCTTTTTGATACTTAAGAAAATTAAAAGTTTATTACTATGCATTTTTGACATATAAGGAACATATAACTAATATTTATAAGGAACTTACAAGTTATGTTGTATAAATACAAACTTGATATAAGATACAAGTGTATAAAAAATTTTTTTTAATGTTATACCGAATATCTTTATTATCCAGTATGTTAATTTGAATTTAAAAGTAGTTATATTTATGAATAATGATAAATATAATTCATATTGTTTATTATATTTATTTATAATTATTACACTTATCATTTTAAAACAATTTTTATCTCTTAATTTTTTTTTCTCCACTTGTATTAAGAATACAAATAATGCATATCTTGAAAGCAAGAAGTAATTATTCAACAGCTGAATATTTAGATATTCAACAAAACTATATCGTATTCAGCAAAATGAAATTCACAAGTATTTGGATAAACTAAATTTTCAGCATAGTAAATGAATAGGCTGAATATACTGTAAATCGACACTAACTACTCTGTGTATTTAACAGAAAGCACTTAAATTTGTATTGTCTTATGTTAAAAAGATTATTAAGAAGATTTAAAAGAATATTAAAAAGATTTTTCTTTAAAAGATGTCTAATGTACAAAACTGCTAATGTTTATCTTTAAAAATGTCTAATTTTTAGTATAATCTATACTATACACTAAATTTGGTTATAAATAAATTTCTTAATAATATCACTGCAGATTTTCAATAACACATGAAAATGAATACATAATATTACAAAAGATGTGAGCTTTCAAAAGTACAAGATTTTGGTTACTATTCAAAATATAAGTGTTTCTTCAAAATTTTAAATTTATTTTTTCTAGAACATATTTAGAAACACTATCCTTTATAAAAAATAGATAAATTTTATGTATTAATTAAATTTCACATATGAATATAGGTTTTTGACATTTTCGACAGTGAGGTTTTTGACGCGAGGGTTTAAACCGTCAAAAACTGTCACATGTCAAAAACCTGCCAACCCTGATACTAGTTGAAGTAAAATATTAGGATATTAAACAAAATTTTCAACATTTCCGAGCAACATTTTGTTTGGCATATTACATTACTGAAGAATGTCAAGTCATTCTTGACTTAGAGTTTGTTAGTAGCTACAAGTTTTGTTTAGCTTATTTCTAATATTTAAGAAATGTCAAATTTTAAATTCTTCTTTTTAGTTCTTGAAATTATTAATAGCTCCAAGCACTTTCGTTTGTTTGTTTATTTCTAACAATTAAGATGTGCAAAATTTTGAATCCTTTGCAAATCAAGCTATAATGAAAAAAGTATCACTATTTTCAATAAGTATGTTACAATATTTCTGTATGAATGTATATCCTTCTATAAGAATACGTGCATATAGTTGCAAAATCAATAGCAATCATTTACAACATTCATTTAGTAAGGCAATTAAGTGAAAATAATTCGTTTTTCATGGTTTTTACCACTGTCATGTCAAAAACCAGTTTTTGACGGCAAAAACCCAACCCTGTTCATAACTAATTTAATATTTAAAGTGTAGAAAAAGTGAGTTCAGACAAATCTAGAGTAAGCCATGAAGTTTCAAATAATGAAAAGAAAAATTAAAAATTTACAAATGAAAATAAATGATGAGATGATAACTTGAAGTTCTCTTCTAATAATTTGTTTGCATTTTAATATCTTGAAGTATTTTTTTCAGCAATTCAAACTTCATGGCTTACTCTATATTTGTCTGAACTCACTTTTTCTACATTTCAAATTAGTAATGAAGGATTGTCTTTCGCGATATGGCATCCTCTTAATGTTTCGATAAAAATAAGTAGTTTACCATTCACTCACACTATATTACTGTTGTGACAATATCAGTAACTAGTTCAAGCAAATGATATTAATAAACCTACTTTGGCAAACAGTTTCAACTTGATGCTTGGGTCCCTGCTTGTAGTAATAACAATTTTAGGATCTTCAACCAAAGCCCATCTATATTCATCATCTTCTTCTGTGGTTGCTAATAAAAATAAAAATCAATTTTTAAAAGTCCATTTTAAGGGTAATCACTAAAATTTTATATAGGCTTGCTGGGAGAAAAAAATTAGACACTCTTAAAGAAATAAAAAACATTATGTCTAATAAATTATTAATTTAAAATGAGTGTTTTTCTTTTCAGTCCTTACTACTCGAAATTTCTTTAAAAACATGACAAAGTATCTTAATCATTTTCTTAACAAGGTCTAAACATCAACAGGCAACTAAAGCAAAAAACGTGAATAAAGCACAAATTAAGTAGACAAATGGATATACTATAGTTTAAGCTCTATAAACAAGAACATTCCTCAGTGTCTTAACATCAAATGAAGGCAGAAAAGAGACAAACACGTGCAAGATTTAACAAATTGAAACAGAGGAACAAGCTAGAACAAAGAAATAATAAGAGAAACAGGTGTGAGGGGATTAGGTGGGAACCCAAGGGTGAAACAGATAATGATTTTAGAAGCAGAAAACTCTAACAATTTAGAGAGATAGAAGATGGTTAATGTCCAGATTTTGGACATGCCTTTCTTGTTGTTTAAATTGAAGTTTAAGGGCACACTATGTTTGTCAAACATACACAAGACCAGACTGACACAAAATTTAATAAATACCCCCTGCCATTAATATCAGTTGTCTTTAATATTAAAGAAAATTAAATTTATTAAAAATTCAAATTTATTCAAAATCTTGGCAATTTGAGAACTAAACGCCAGATAATGAGGTTAAAAACTATCTTGTTAAAGTTCAAATTGGAGAGTTTGGTGGATTGCGAGATTAATTTTTGAGAGGTAGAAGTAATAATATTAGAAGAAAAAGTATATAGGTAGGGTTGCACAACGTTTTTAAGTGAAGGGCCACTTGCATGGCAGCTTAACTAGAAAAGGGCCGCATGCATATTTAGTCATGTTTGCAGCAAATAATATAAACGTTAGTGTAATATATATATATATATANTATATATATATTGAGGAAAAAATATAAATTCCTAAAAAAAATAATGCTTAGAGAATGAAAGTGTTAAAAAATACTTACAAATTTTAATGTGTAATGTAAATTTGAATTTACTATTTTAATTAAAGAAGATTCATAGGGTTTAAGCGAAAACCAAAAATGAAAACAAAACCATTAAAGTACAAAATAAGATTCAATATTTAAAAAAATATAAGTATACAAGCATAAATTAATTTAATATAGTCAAAATTAGATTTAATTTTTTCCCTTTGATATTAATAATTTATTCTTCATTCGATATCTAAATTACGCATTTGATTTTTGCTATTATAAATTCATGAGATTTTTGAGCTTGAACAAAAAAAGCTATTATTTTTTTTTCAATAATTAGTTTGTAACAATTATATAATAATTTTAACCATTTTAGTTGAAACTGTTAAAAACTTAAGTTATAATATAGCTTGCGCTTTGAGTCAGATGGCTTTTAAATGAAGCGAGGAATTAAAAACTTTCATGAGCTTACAATTCAAATAAAAACTTATAAATATTGTAGCAATGTAAAAATACATATAATAAATTCAAAAAGATGCAATAGCTACTGGTCCGTCATTAAAATAATGAACTACAAAATACTTAAAAATGATTAAATAAATTGTTTTTAAATAATATTAATATATTCTTTTAGAACAGGGGTGCTATTAGTGCCGCCTGTGGTCCGACGGCCACAAGCGGTCTGTCGACTGTTGATGTGCGGCCCAAGGGAGCTTCTGAAAGTAATAAAAATATTTCTTTTAACATTATAAATTTTCTTTAATTAAAATATTTAATTCAAATTTATTACTCTATAAATTTATTACTCATTCTGTAAGCTTCTTTTTGGTTAGAATTTATACCCCCTCCCAATATTTATGTACATATATTTATATATATAGATATTCGATAAATTAATTATTGTGAAAAATGAAAAAGTTTAAAAAAAAAAACAGTTTTTTGTTTTAAATAATTTCAAATAATTAAAAGTATTTAACATTCTGCAAATATGTTATTAAGTTTACTGATAAAAATATCGAGTACTTAGAACACTAATATTTGCATAAAAATGATCATATTTGCCTCTAACGTGGCTAAATATGCTTCGTTTATCTACCTGTTGTGCAAGTGGCCCTTCACTCAAAAAGGTTGTGCACCGACTGCTATATTAGAGCCTTGAATTTTGATTGGTATACGTAAAAAAATCTGATTTAAATAAAAATCCAGTTATTTTTTTTATTATTTTAAATTATGATTTTTGTCAACAGCTTTGAATAATAGGGAATATTCTAAAAATATAGAAAAATTAAGAAACTAAAAGAAACTGTTAAAATCCAATCAAGTTGATAGCTCTTTCTAATGAATAAGTAAAAAAAATCTACAACTTACCCTCAATATCATCCCATTCAAGAGAATCTTGCAATCTTAACGCTTCTTTTTGCAAAGTTGTTGGCAAAACTTTGTTTTCTAATGAGAAAAAAAAATCAGTTAAAAATATTTTAATTAGTTCAGGACATTCTTTATTTTGGTAAGCAAATGATCTTTACCTTCCAAAGATTTTTTAACGAGAGTTTTTTTTTCTATCTTTGATTGGTCTTTCTTAGATTGTTTAGCACCATATATGAGCTGCCGCCTTTCTTTAGCTTGCCTTTGAAACTAAGTTTTTTTTAAAAAAAAGTTAAATAAATCAGATTTATATTTTATGATATAAAGAGCATACAAACAAACTGAAAAATCAAAATTGAAAATATAATAATAATAAATAAATAAAAAGTAAAAAAAAATAGTTACTTTATCATGAAAAAATTAAAAAATATTTTCAAAGAAGACAAAAAGTCTGATAAAAATTAAAATAAAAAAAGTTTGATAAAAGAAAATATTTAAATTATGGGCATTTTAGGGTTCATCGGGAGTAAGCCAAAAGTCACCAAAAATGTAGACCTGCACCAACTTTTTTTAAAGTATTTTTTTCAAACATAATTTCGCAAAAAATAATTAAATAAATTGAAAAAAGTACAATAAATTTAAAAAAAAAAATAGTTGATTTTACTTCTGCCTTCTAGCTCCCTTAAAAAAGCCAAAATTATTTACATACTAATTTAGCTTCTTTTTCTTTCTTTTTTAATTACAAGTGTACAGAGCACAAAAAAATATATCACCCTAAATAACTTTCATTCTGATAATCTGATTTTCACATACTAAGTGTCCATCCTAATGGTTCTAGGGGGTGACCTCAAATATGCAAATTATTAATTAAGTTATTTATTTAAATATACAAGTAAAATATGAAGTTAATTTACTTAAATTATATACCTAATAAATAAAGCTAAATTATAAATTTAATTTGTCATCAAATGTTTAGAAGTTTTTGTTTTAAGGACAATAATTTAAAATTTTATTACTTTCGAAGTAAAATCTAACAATCTAATACAGTAAATTTGCAAAAGAATTTTTTTCTTTATATTTTTAAAAAAAAGAAAACCTACTTAACTCGTTTTAATGAGATTACACTTGAATAAAAGTATGTAATAAAATATAAATGTAATAAATATAATAAAAGTACTTAAATATAATATATAATATAATAAAATAATTCAAACCAATCAATCTCTTTTTAACTCATATGTTTAAAAAGAATTTTTAAACTTCAATTTAGTTTTATTCTACTCTAATCAAGAAAATTTCTCCATTTTTAATAACATATAAATAAAACAATTACCATTTTATGGACCAGTACAAAAGCTTTTAGAATTATTTACGAAATATAAACTGTTATTAAGCCGACTCAAACAATTTTGAAACTTTTCGATTATGAGCCTCGTGGAAAATGAAAAATGTACAATCAAAATATTTGAAAGTAAGTTGTTGGTTAAGTGTGCAATAGGTTTAATTTTATGATTATGCTACAGAAATGCTTGTAGCTTTTTAATAGCAATATTATTTTTCAGGGTAAATCTTGACTAAAGAGCCATTTCTACTAAATGTCAATATTAAAAAACCGCGTACGAGCGAGAACGTGATTGGTTAGTTTTCGCGGTTACAAAGCGGACAAAACTGATGTTAGTGATGTCTTTTGTGTAAAAGATATAGATAACCGGAAACTATCGAGATGTAATACGCTATATTTGTTTTTAAATTGAATGTTATTGTCAGGAATTCGAACTATGCAAAGCTCTTTTTAAAATAGAACTTTTGTTTATGGTAATTGAATATTAAATCTTAAAATGTCTTTTTTAGGAAGAGTTTTTAGAAATACAGAAAATTTGTTTATCAAGAATTGGTAATTTTTTTAATTCTTTATCTCTGGTTTAAATAGATGTTTTGTGATTTACATACAAGAAGATAATGCAAGCATAACTACATTTACGAGCAATAGTTACCAACATTTAATGGTGAAATTTTTTGCCCTCATTTGATACAAATTTGTAAACGCATCCAAAATCGAGCTCTTTTTAAGGTTTTATTTAATAACAAGATTTCTTGTAGATGTACTAATTTCATTGTACCTTTGTCATTTTCTTCTTCTTTATGGAGTGTTATTTGGGTTTCCAGGTCTACATAGATAGAAACAATTAAAAGAGTTTTTAAAAAAATGTTGTGTGTAAGTTTTTTTTTTCAAAATGGATTCTGGTTAAATATTACGAAAAAGTTAAAAATGTTTGCATAACTTTCGCATTTTCTTATTGTTTTTTAGCATTTTAATAAGTATGCTACTTTTGTAGCAGAAATCATACAAACAACTCAATCAACATCTTTTAATAGTAGTATAATTTTTTTCTATGGTAGAAGAAAGTGAGAAATGGTTTTCTTCTAAGGCAAGGGGAAGAAATGGAATAAACTCTTTTTCAGATAGTTGCAGATATTTTAATACAACATTTAAACATTTTATTAATGCAATCTATTTCAAATAATAATTAGCTGGGATACACAACTTATGGCTTGTGGGTCAAAACTGGTCCCTACGCTTGCGACTTGACACCTGAACAATGAATAAAAAAATTTCTGCTTTTTTCATAAGTTAATTTGCTTTAATTATATTTTTATACTGGTCATGGATTTTTGTTTATTTATTGTATTAGTCAACTCTGAACTTGTATGTAAAAAAATTTTTTTACAAGTTATATTTATGGCTATGTTTTTAATGTTAGCACAGGAATGTCATATTTTTCAAAGTTAATAAATTACTATGTATATATATGTTACTTTTAATTAAGATTTAAATTCATGTTAAGTTTTTACAGTCTTACATTACTAATTTTGGATCCCCACAACGCTACATTTTTAGTTAACAACATTTTCAGAAAAAGGTTGTGCATACCTGATAAATAGTATTGATTTCCAAGTTATTTAAGTGCATAATTTTCATGAAACAATGTGTTTCATAAGAAATCAAAATGTTTGTAGTTATTTCATACCTTACTTACTATAGTTAAACTTGGTTTTACAATCCTGTTAAGTGCTGTTGAAATTTTACTATCAATTTGTATTAATACTTATGAAATGACTAAAATGCACTGCAGCAAATAAATGCATTGTACTTACTATTGCAAATGGATTACTAATTATAATCAAATACAGTGTAGGGATGTAACGAATATTCGGCCACTATTCGGTATTTGGCCCTTTTGCCGAATATTCGGCCTAGCCGAATACTGAAGTTATTTGGCCAAATAATAAAGTTATTCAGCTGAATATGAATATTATTAGATATTTGGTTGAATAAATTCATTATATTAAAGAAAGATATTTTTTTAAATGTGCTTTTAAATATATTTAATCATAAATATTGCAGAGTTACATTTCACTGCATTAATTATTAGAAAATCTAACATTTACTCAATTTAAGTTGTATAATACATAAGTGTATTTAATAATGTTACATAAATAAAAATGTTTTCTTGTTGCAAATTTATCATCATATGTATTTAAACAAGCATTGGAATCTAAAATATTGGAATCTAAAAAAGCAAATTTGTTAATATTTATTTCATTTTTAATTTAAAATTATTTAATTACAAAATTGAAATTTCAAAAGTGAAACTTTTTAAAAAGTTCTTAATTTTCTGGGTTTTAATAATTTTTCTGATAAAAAAGAAAGTTAAGAATACATTTAGTAATGTAATAGTAATAGTAATGAGTTCTTATTTTAAATAAAATAACATATAAATTACAAGTATAACTATAACTAAAATATGCTATTATTAATTATTTAGATTTATAAAAGCCATATTGCCTTGTTATTGGCATCAAGATGTTTAAATTATTACAAAAAATAAATCAAGTTAAAAAATTTTTAATTATACCAAGATTAAAAAAGCAATTTTGTTAATATTTATTTCATCTTTAATTTAAAATTTGAAAATTACTTTACAAAATTACAATTAAAAGAGAAATTTTTAAAAAGTACGTATTCGGCCTAAAATTTGGCCGAATATTCGGCTCTTCGGTCCCATCACTATTCGTTACATCACTAATACAGTGAAACCCTGGTTAAGTGGGCACCTTTGGGACTTAAAAAATTGTCCGTTTCTGAAAAGGGTACCCTAACAATTCAGTTCACTACCGTAAAAATGTTTTAGAATATTTTCAATGACATAGAAGTTATTAACTGATCTATGACTATCTACAAGGATATTTATTTAAACTTTAAAAAAATAATTTCCATATGAAAAAGTTAGATACAAATACATAATTCTAGCTGTAGCTACAGATAAATGAATATAATTTTCCTATTAACACAGACATTCAAGTTAGTCATGTACTGAATAGGATTTAGTCCCTAGCTGAATAGGATTTAGTCAATAGCTTTTAGTCCCTAGCCGGTGTGGAATTTCATAACCTGTATCGTCCAGCTGAAAAGATTGAAAGATATCGTTGTCTTAATGAGCTGTATCATTTTCTCTTCTATCTTTGCAAAGATAAGGCAAGGTGACAGGAGAGAGAATGATTCTTTAGTAGTAAAATAGTTTTACAATGTTTTTAGTTATGGATAAGGCAAAAAAGGATGGCTGGATTATGGATAAGACTGGGTTCCAAGAAGGTTTACTATAGCAGTGTCGAACTCTAATAAATAAAAACTTGTAGAAATATTCCATGACAAAATGAAATTTATTTTAGGAATAAATTTGTTGTAAGGAATCTAATGCTGTTAAGAGTTTCCATATTTAGTTAGTTAATTAATAAAGTAAATTTTGTACTCTTGCAATCCCTATTCCAACACAGGAGTCTGTCTAGGTTTTTTTAAGAGGTACCTATTTCGTGAAAATTTAGACATAATTTGTGAAAATTAAAGATTATATTAAAAAATCAACACAAAATATGGCAAAGTAAGAAAATATTTTCAAAAATTGTCACTACAAATAAAAATAATTTATGATTGGTAAATTTCTATGTATTTTCTCCCGTATATTCAAAATCAATTTTGCTATTGTAAAATTTTGGGCTAAAAATTGTAGATCCAAATTTCAAAATCCATAAAAATTATTGTCCAAAGTTAAAATTCAACTTGAATTTAATGAAAAAACATGCATTTAACAGTACTAACACTAAAAGTTATTTTAATTATGAGAACATTTTCAACTAGGTCACGCAGAAAAAAAGTTTCACAGAGAAAAAAATGGTTCATAAAATAAATAAAGGTCTGTTAAAATAAATTTCCATTAGTGTTTAAGATAATGTTTGAATTTCGACTTCCTGTAAAGTTTATAGGGGGATAGCCTTGTTTCATTTTAAAAAACTCAGTGAGAAAAAAATTATTTTTGATATGGCGTGAGTGACCGGTTAGGCTTACCACATTGCATCTTACCAAACACATGCTGCCTTTTCGTAAAAGACAACTGGCAGAAAAGCTCTTTTCCATAGATAGCAACAAAAAGGGAGTTGGTTTGAGAACTTGCTTTTTTATTTGTGAAACGACCGTTTTTCCTAAAGTTGAATTTGTGAAGGTACCGCTAAACGGTAGTAAATTTACCCTGGGCAGACCCCTGCAACAGTACTGCTGAAATATGCTAAAATTTCTTTTTCATGGACTTTGAATCTAGTGAATCACCTATTATAGTGTATTTATTGCTAGGACCCCTGACGGTTGGCTATAGCAGTGTCCAACTGTAATAAAAAGAAACTTGTAGAAATATTTTGTGACAAAATTAAATCTATTTTAGGACTTTGGCCCCAGCTTGGAATGAAGGAGTTTATTTCTCAAAAAAAGTTGAAATCCCTGTTCCTCCAAAAAGACCCTTAACTGCTTATATGTTGTTTGTAAAGGAAAAGAGGCAAGAACTACTGAAAGAGACTCCTGGTACTTTTTAAAATTTTTTAAACTAGTTTGTTTAGTTTAATTTCATTTGTTTAACTAATTCTTGTGTAAAACAAATTGTGGTACATCGCTTATAAAATATTTCATTCTGCCGTATTTTCTGTTTTAATACTATCATATCTGTTCGTTTTGATGTGTAGTTACAATTTACGATTTTCTATTTAAACTTTAATACCAATTATTTTAGTGTATTTATGCATTTCGCTGTAGCTTTTATTTAATTTTACAATTAGTTGAAACTAAATGTTAGTTATTAGTGTAGTTTTAGTATTATATTTTTTTTTTAGTTGTTAAAAAAAAGTATGTTCTTTAAGCATTGGTTTTTTGGCCTGGGTTAAACCTCTACCAAAACAAACAACAACAACAAAAAATCTTCCATTTTCCGAATTTTAAATGTTTTGAAAAAGCCTTTTTTGTTCTATTTTTTAATTGGACAACACCTCCATTCACATTGCAAAGAGCAATATAAATTTTTCTTGAAAATTGAGGAACAAAATTTATGAGTATTTTTGAATTGAGGAGATATTTAGAGTTTTGCAATCTTTGTCTTCTCTAATAAAATTAAATTATAGTAAGTTTTCATATGAAAACATTAATCTTAATTTTTTACTGTGTATAAAGTGCTTTATTCTTTAATTTTTGATGTAAACCCTTAATTTACTTTTTTTAAATAGATTTTTTTTAAAAAAAAGGGAAAACAATGAAAGAGTTAAAATTTTTGATACCTCTATTAGTATATCTTCATTTTAGAATTTAAATGTTTTAATTACATGTGGGTTTTTTTTTCAAAGTTTATTTAAAATTTAAAGAACAGTTATACAATTTTTTGCACTAGTTACATGCAAATTTTTCTAATATTTGGTTGTTAAGCAGAAAACCACACGTTGTGCTCACTTGATCCACAGAATTTAAATTGTTTAATTATTTTTGAGAACCAGCTGTATCCCATAAGAATATCTTTTTTTTTTTGTGTGTAAATATGTTATTGATATTAAAGATGTGTCATTTATACTAATATTCTAATAAATTTACTGTAAAATTGTGTACAGCACTTTGTAAAAATTAAATTACTATTTGTATTACTATTACTATTTGCACTATTACTATATGTACTATTACTATTTGTATTAAAAATGTATTACTTATTATTCGTAAAATTTTAAAATTGCCGTTTTTGTCTTTAGTTCTAGGCAATCAAGATCAAATAAGGATTTTAGCTAGAAAGTGGATGAATCTTTCTGCTGAATCAAAAAAGGTAAATCATGCTGCATAGCGTTTTTTAAAATGTGCCTAAAGGTGCTTATTTTTGATTTTTGTTACTTAAAAGCCCTTAAACGTGCTTTTTTTCATTGTGTATTTTCAAAAAGTGCTTAATTTTCCCTTTTCAAAAATGAAAATTTTTTTCCGTTTCCATGTCAATTTTTGCCACATATTATGCAAAAGCGTGCTTTTCACACTGTTCTATTCAACGTTTTCGCAATTCATACCGGCACACCGTCGATCCATAGCGTATGAAAGCGTCAGTCATTTTACATGTTTGATGAAATACTTGCGAGTCGGTTTGCGCGTCTACTGGGCTGGGTTCGGTGAGATTATTGCCTTCTCATGTGCAACTCTGCTGCATTTTGCAAGATATTCTCAATTTCAGACTTTATTTTCCACCTTCTGAAATCGAACCGTGAAAAGTCTATCATTTTATGGTGGCTTAACTATTCACTTTTTATTTATGCTATATTTATTATTTTATTATGCAGAACTTATTTGCTTTTTAATTATACAAAAAAATGGGATAGTAAGTTCAAAGTAAATAATTTATGCATTTGTAAACCATACTCTTTTCAAATAGAATCTTATTACATTCCACCCTCAGTGAACTGATCGTAAATACAAGCATAAGTGGCTGTGGTCAGTAACCAGATGGGAGTCCACTTTGATTACCTTGCATGGTATCGGTTCTTGTTAAACTGTGCTATCGTAAAGTGCTCAACTTTGCCCTCAGGTCATCGGGCTACCAATGTCAAAGATCACAATTGCAATGACATGTCTTCCTATCATCCCCAGGGATGTTTCCCAGACCATTGCCTATAGCCCATTGTGCAGCTTTAGCACAATATAAGTAAATTACCTACCTACGATTATAGTTTGTGATTAATTTTAGCCCCTAACATAGTATTTGGCCCAAACTATCTAAAACTAGTTGTGTTTCTCTGCTATAGTTTGATGTACAATAAATTTTTAAAATTCTTTTGATTCCTTATTTGCATACTTATTGTCTGTGATATGTTTTAGCCGTATGAATTACAAGCTAGAGAGAGAACTCTTCTTTATGGAGAAGAACACAAGAAATATTATGAAAATCTTTCAGAACAACAGAAAGAAGATTTAAGTAAACAGAAATCTGAAAAGAGGTTGGCTCGTCGTGTCTACAGATTAAATAAAGTGAGGATTCCAAAAGAAATTTTCAGAATTTTATTTTATAATTAAAAGCTCCAATTTGGCAATGTTTTCTTGTCATCTTGGCCTGTTATTAAATTTTTGTATTGATTAAATTAAGTGGTAGTTTTAAAATGAATTATTGTTAGCGATATTCTCTTATTATTTAATAGAATTGTATTATACTGTTATTTTGCTTTTTTTTTTCCTTTTATGAGCATGGTAGTGTTAACCAAGTTTTCTTTCATGCTGGAAATTTTTAGAATGTTTTTAAATGTGAAAAAAAAAATTAAAGCGCACCCACTGTGGGATGCATTTAATTTCCATGGTGTGTAGCTTTGTTAAAAAGTTCTTAAAGATGCTGATTTTTATTTTTTTAAAGCCCTTAAAGGTGCTTTTTTCATTGGGTGTTTTTAAAAAGTGCTTATTTTTTCCTTTTCGAAAATGAGATTTTTTTTCTTTACTATGTCTAATTTAAAACTAATAAACACGATTAATGTAATAAAGATTGCATTACTAACTAATTAACAATGATATGTACACAAAGTGACTATTTTATTATGCATGGTGCATAGCGTTTTTAAAAAGTACTTATTTTAAGGTGCCTATTTTCGATTTTTAAAAGGTGCTTATTTTTCCCTTTTTGAAGATTAGTTTTCTTTTTCTTTATGGTATCAATTTTCGCCACGTGTTATGCAAAAGCATGCTTTTCACATTGTTCTATTCCGTGTTTTCGCATTTCATTCAAGCACAATCCATTTCTGCGTACCGCCAGTAAATAGCGTATGACAGTACCTATCATTTTACATGTTTGATTAAATATTTGAGAGTTTACTTGTGCGTCTACTGAGCTGGATTCTGTGAGACTATTGCACTCTCGTGTGCAACTCTGCTGCATTTTGCAAGATATTCTCAATTTCAGGCTTCATTTTCCACCCTCTGGTATCGACCTGAAAAAGCTCTCGATATTTTTTTATAACAGCCAATATAATCAAGAGGAGTTCTTTTTCAGTTACTAGTTACTTTATCATGATTGTGTGAAGTACTTGAAAATTATTTTGAATTTTGTTAATGTATATAGTGCTTAAAAATATGTTTCGACTGTTAAAAAAGTACTTAAAACTGCTTATTTTTTGTTGAAAGATTTAGCTTCGCACTCTGATTTTGAATTAATTTTTAAAAAATAGTTATTTTTAATTTTAAAAAAATTTTGTCTTATGTATCAATATATTATTGAAGGCAATTAATTATTGTTTTAGGCTCTACGAGAATCTGGTTTTCCAAAGCATGCGAGGTCACCCTATGCTCTTTTTGTCCACTCACTTGCAAGTGAGGATAAGACCGAGAATACAAAAGTAAGACTTCCGTTTTGTTATAATTTTGCAGTGTCTACATTTTAAGATTGAAAATGCTTGCTCATCTCCTCATATGAGCTTATAATTACAAGGGCTTGATGAGTTATGAAAGTCAAATAAATCTCACTAATTGCATAGCTTCCAACTCTACTGGATTTTGCCAGTTTCTCCTGATCTACTGGTTTAATAAAAATTCCTCTAGGTATTATACATTTTTTAAAATTCTTTAAAATTGAGTGAATTTCCTGAAAAAAATCCCTATTGAAATAGAATTTTTGCACAGATTATTACTTGCTTGAATATTTAAATACGTGTTATTAATACATGATGAAGTGAGCCTCATTTACAAAAATCAGTCTAAAACTTTTTTGCTTTAAAATGCTGAGTTTGTTTTTTATACATAACTCCCTTTTTTAATTAATCAAAAATCTTTGATGAATTAAATGTGTATTACTATTCAAAATTAACAGTAAACATGATCCGTAGCATTTGAAGTTTATTTAATATTAATCTTGACCAGAAAATATTGCAGGTGTTTCTATTTTGATGACTATAAAAGTCCTTAGTGTAAAATATTTACTAGATTTTGCAACAATTATCAGGAAATATATATAATTTTGTTAAATCTACTGGATTTTTTTCCCATCCATGTTGGCAGCTATGTAGTTGCAAAATTTTAGCTTATGTTTTTCTTTTTCCAAAAACTGTACTGTTGTGAAAAAAGGCATTTATTGAATAATAAGAATTAATGAAATGTTAATCTGTTCATTGTACAACCTTTAACTTGTACAAATTATGTTACATTTAATGTAGTTTATTATCAAAAAAATATTACCTTTTACATATGAAACAAAAAAGTCTCATTTGTGAAAAAAAATTTTGTTGGTATTTTACTTATTTTCTTAGTTTATTTTTTATTAAATCTGCTTTGTATTTAATTCCAAACTTTAATTATTTGTTCAATATGGGGTAATATATGTAATCTTTAGTTAAATTTTCATTTTTTGTCTTTCTGAGTTTGTGATTTTAATCATGTTGTTTCCCATAACGTATGTGTTTATCTTTTATATTTTAAAAGTAGTTTGCTGAGGGTCCTTTCAAATATTATGTGACCCCCCTAACTGGGAGTCAAAGCAAAATTGGGTGTCAAAAGCAAAAATAAGTAAATCTGTGCTAGTAAGGTAGTGGAGGGGAATGAGCCATATTTTAAAAACTTTTCTTAATATGAAAAAAATATTGATACAGAAAAATTTTGGAAAATTTACTTGAGATAAAGTTAAGTTTAGAGAAAGTTCAACAAAAATTTCTCTTAGTTTTAGACATCAGGAGTTATTGAAAATAGAAAAGATTTTTAAATTCTGCTTTCAATTTTGTGAAATAATTTAAAACATGATATTAGCATCATTCATTTGAGTTTAATCCTGAAAATTAAACTGTAACAGTATAAGTCAAAGCAAAAACCATTAAAATGGTGACTTTCTGATGTAAACTGGGGAAGAGATTGGAAACTTACATATTTTTGCTGACGAGAAGTTTGAAATTGCAAAAACATGCTTACCTTATGATATATTCGATGGATGCTAAATAACTTAAAACTGCCACGTAAACAGTTTTCTTTTTTTTAATATCAAAACAAATTATTGTTTTTCATAAGACACAATATATACCATGGTGCATAGCGTTTTTAAAAAGTGCTTAAAGGTGCTTATTTTCAATTTTTGTTTTCTAAAAGCCCTTAAAGGGGTTTTTTTCATTGGGTGTTTATAAAAAGTGCTTAATTTTTCATTTTTGAAAATTAGATTTTTTTTCTCACCATGTCTATTTTCGTCATGTATTATGAAAAAGCATGCTTTTACATTGTTCTATTCATCGTTTTTTCAATTCATTCAACCACAATCCATTTCTGCGTTCCGTCGGCCCATAGCGTATGAAAGCCCCAATCATATAACATGTTTGATGAAATACTTCCAAGTCCACATCTACTGAGCTGGATTCAATGAGATTCTTGCACTCTCATGTGCAACTCTGCTGCATTTTGCAAGATATTCTCAATTTCAAGCTTCATTTTCCACCCGAGAAAAAAGAGTTCTTTGTCTGAAACTGGTTATTTTATTATGATCATGTAAAGTCTTTGAAAATTATTTTGCATTTTGTTTATTTATATAGTACTTAAAATTTTTTTTTGTGTGCTTAAAAAGTGCTTAAAAGGTGCTTATTTTATGTTGAAGGATTTGGCTACGCACCCTGTATACTAATAGGCTGTTCAAATATTACATTTGCAACTAATGGGACGAAGGGTTTGTGGGTTGCTTGTAGGTATGCTGACAGGGTAAGAGCAATCTTCTTATTTTCAAAATTTTATTAAAAAGCATGTTAAAAAATATGCAAATTTCAAATTTGGAATAAAAGTTGAATTTGGGGGAAGGAAAAAATGTGAAAAAAATTTATTCAAAAAGCTTCAGAGGTCAAGAATTTTGAGCACAAATAGAAAATTATAACAAATAGAAATTATAACATAAAAATTCCAAAGTGTAATAAAATTTAGAAATTGAAATTCAAATCCTTAACATCTCCAAAAGGAATCCTGATTACTGCTGAGTTTTTAGAAGTGAACTCATTGCTATTGATACTGTCCCGGATTCCCTTCTAACACTACAGGATCACTATAACATCTGGATACTCTCTGACAGTCTCTGTTCCATATAGCAGGTACTTAAAGGTGAGAGACAAAACAGGAGCTTCAATCCTGCACAAACTTAAAATCCTTTCACGATTGCGTGAAGTCCACCTCCAATGGATCCCTTCTCACGTTGGGGTTCTGGGCAATGATATAGCCGGCACTCTGGCTAAGGAGGGAATAGAAGAAACTTTGATGAGTCCAAATTCACTCACCTTCATGGAACTGGCACCGAAAAAGAAAAAAGAAGACAATGTTTCCTGGCTCGTACCCCCCAAACATCACTGGTACCAGAGCACCTGTCCAGAAAGTGCACTCAACATTCGGTGCAACCACAAGGACCAGATGGCACTTACCAGCGGCCACCTTAAGTCCCTTTCTTTCGAGGGTAGTGTTAAAATCTTCCCAAACTGCCCCAGGTGCCACAACATGCAGGCATCTCCCCAACATATCCTGGACTGTCTTGGTCTGGACAAAAGGGACATACTAAATAACCCACTTTTGGTGGCCGACTTCCTCCGGGTCATGAATTTCATGGACATTGTTTAGCCCTGCTAATTTTGGGGTTAAGGAAGAAGAAGAAATCTTTTGGCAGTTATTTATTGTTATATTTTTAAAGATTTTTTTGTTGTTGACAAAAACATGTTCACAATAAATGTAGCTGGAAGATTAATTTAAAAAAGTGAAAACTGTAAGTATACTCAACAAAAACAAAAAATAACAATAAGATTAAATTTTTCCCTGGAAGAAAGTAAAAACCTTCTATCAGGGATGAGATTTTTCCACTTTTTAGCGGGTTTCCGCCTTTTTCGCTTTTGTTTCTCGAATTTCAGCCTTTTTATCAAAAATTTCGATTCTCTAAAAGTTTATACAGTCAATTCGCTATAACTCGAAGTACGATAACTCGAATATTACTATAACTCGATTTTTTTATGAGGTCCCGACCCTTTTATCTTCAATTTCATGTTAATTATTCTCGATTACCCGAACTTTACTCCCTTTAACTCGATTTTTTTTAAATCTTTTAAAGCAAAAAAAAAAAAACCTTGGAGCTGATATTTTGCCCCTTCCTTTGCAACACACACAATCTCTTTCGCACTCTTCATGGAGAAGCTAAAGCTGTCCCTTTTGAAGTACGTGAACAGTGGTTAAGTGAAACTTTACCAAATTTACTTCAAGGATACAGTTAAAATGATGTTTTCAATATTGATGAAATGGGTTTATTTTTTAAATGTCTTCCAAATAAGACTATGATGTTTAAGGATGAAAACTGCTCAGGGGGTAAAATGAGCAAGGAACGTTTGACTGTCCTAGTTGGAGGAAATGCGTCTGGGACAGAGAAATTGCCCTTACTTGTTATCGGAAAATACCGAAATCCCCGATGTTTCAAGAATGTAAAAACGTATCCTTTGGATTACAAGTCTAACAAAAAGTTTTGGATGACATCAGTTTTATTTGAAGACTATGTAAGAAAATTGGATCGGAAATTCTTCGCTAAAAAAAGAAAAGTGATACTCTTTATGGATAAATGCACAGCGCATAGTGATCTACCTAATTTGAAAGCAGTAAACTTGCAGTTTCTCCCGCCAAACACAACAGCAAAGTTGCAGCCGATGGACCAGGGTATCATAAAGTGCTTCAAACAGTCTTATCGTAAATGGCTTGTCAGAAAAATGATCTTAAATATTGTAAGCATTTAGAAGATTTGTAATTAATAAGCATTAATTAAATAATCCGACAATATTTTGAAAGTCCAAAACCGAAACTAACGGTAAGTCGAACTTCCGATATGTCAAAGTTTTTCGTCAGTCCTATCAGATTCGAGTTATCGCGAATTCACTGTATCTATATATATTCCGCTTTTTCTGAAAACTCAGCCGTTGAAATAAAATAATTATATCTATTTCCGATTTTATTATAATATATCGAAAGATGTATAGAAAATTCAAACTATGTAGCTGCCAACCCTTCCTCATACTACTTATTTCAGCTATTAGCTTTTAAGAGCAGAAAATAAGATTTTTCTCATTTTTACTCGTCCCCTAGATAGCTTGTATTTACCTGATTTTTATTCACGTAATTTCAATATCGTTCATTGTAGTTCTTATTTACGAGATTTAAAAATCCAATATCGCGATTTGTATTGAGGCATTTTTAAAATTCTATGCAACGATTCGATTTAAAATCCAAAATCGCTATTTGTATTCACGCAATTTTAAAATCCAAAATCGCGATTCTTGTAAAAAGTAAGTTTTTTTTCTTGAATTAGTTATATTATAAATGTGGCAGTTTTTCTATCGATGATTCTTGCTATATATAGGCATAACAACATCAGCGAAACTGGGTGAGAGTATGTTAATGATAGTTTTGCTATAAATCACGTAAGATTTACTGGCGTGAAAATTTAGCTTTTTTGCCTTTTGGCCAATCTCATCCCTGTTCTATAATTTCTTTATTTTTTTTAAATAAAAGATGATTGAGTGAGCAAAATTTCATACGTTTTTCAACTCAAAAACCCTATACATGTATCAATACTATTCATTTGTATTTTAATTTTTGAAACAAACTGGCCCTCTTCTGACATGCTGTCTAACATTTCCTATTTCAGTGAAATATTTGTTCCAATGGCAGTGTAGTAAAGCAGAAATTTCTGAAATAAATAAACATTTTATAAAACTTTATTAGAACTTAAGAAAGGAGCCATTTGTCTATCTGTATGAGTTACAGTACAGGGCTGATTGTGCTCCGGAAAAAATCCGGATTTCCGGAATTTTCGCTAGCAGTTATCCGGAAGTTTCTGGAGATCGAAGGTCCAGGCGTTTCTAAAAATCATTGATTGCAGAAGTTTCCGGATATCAAATTTTCAAGGGTGGAACTTAAAAACACAGTTTATTTTATTCGTTTGTAAGGGAGAGCCTGAGATATACTTTATAAGCTTATATTCATGATTAATATTCATTTTTTATCAGTGAATAGTTGTTATAATCATAAACTCAAGAAAGAAAGACATTTTTGTAAATTTTAATTACTTCTCCAGGTCATCATAGGTATGTGTAAAATTTTAAATATATTTTAAGCAAACTAAGACATATTGAGAATAAGGAATTTTTTTTTTTTTACTTAAGAAATTTCCAGAATTTTGACTTGGGCTCACAATCACCACTGCAGTATACTCTTGATATCTTGAAATCCTTGTTGTGTCGAAAAAATATTTTTCTTCTTGGCATTATATAACACCCTAATGTTCATTTAAATTTCTATGATGAAGAGTTTCTTCTCAAAACCTTGTTGTTTCGAAGTAGAAAATGATTTTTTTTCTTCGGAAAAACACAATGTAAGTTTATTGTAAACCAATTCTTTTCTATTTACGGCATAATTATTTTTGTTTTACTTTTAATAATAAAATTATCATTGTTGTATTTAGAGATAGAGTCAACTATCATTACATACATATTTAATAGCAGTTATTCTTACGTTTCATGACTCAACTTTTTAGAGTCATATTTTAGAATATGTTTAGTTCTGAACTTATTATCTCAAAAACTCGAAAAATTTTGAAATTTTTTTAACGTCCATTCAACTTTGAGATATCGAGAATATACTGTATTTATATGTAGTGGTAATTATTTTTAATTCTGTTTCATCTAAGTTTTAATCCATTTGATTTTGCTATCGATCGGTAAATTATTTTCTTAAACTAAGGAAATTTTGAAGCTGTGGGTGGGTATTTTATTTTTTTTATCATACTAACGAATTGCTAAATTAAAATATTAAAATTATTTGCCATAAAAATACCTATTGATTGATTTCTTTTCTTTTTAAAGGATTTTTTAAAACATGCTGCTGAAAAATGGAAATCATTACCTGAGAAAGAGAAAAAGGTAAACTTAAATGAAATTTATGTCTAACTAATTCAGATTTTAATATAAATTTTATTTTATTCCCAATATAAGTCAAGATATACTAATTAATTTACTTTTATTATTTTCTGCTAACTATTTAAAGCTTGTTTATGTATTGAAATGTTTAAAATTATTTTATGTGCCATTAGTAAAGGCATACAATTTTGTGCTTTTAATTGTCATTGAAATTGTTATTATTATTTATACTGCGATATTGAAAACAATATTAGAAATTAATACTGTTATTAATTGTCTCCAACAGTTATAGTAGATACACATAAACATTTTATACTCGTGTGTGGAAGTTAAATAAAATATACACAGTTGTTTTTTTACAAAAATCTGAGTTTTTACCAAAATTGGTAGCAAACTTTTTGCCAACCATGGTAAATGTATTGTTGATTAAAACTTTCTGTGAGCTATTATTTAGTGGGTGGTCCTTCTTCTTTTAGTCATTTGAGAAGCAAGCAATGGATGACAAAGAACGCTATTTGTTGGAGATCGCAGGATGGAAAGAGAAGTTATTAAAGGAAGGCAACGCTAAGCTGCTGAAAGATTTTGCTGAACTTAAGTACGGTGGAAAGTCTTTAATAAGCAAAATGGATGAAATGGATACAAAGAAAGCAACTAAAACAAAATCAAGAAAGAAAGAAAAATCAAGCTCTGGCAAAGAAAATGAATAAATACTTTTTAGGATGCATCTTAAGATTTGAATTCAAAACATTTTTCTATCTGCTAAGGTTTGAAAGTCTTTGTTCTTAATCCTCATTTAGAGCATCGAACATATCTCGAAAATAAAAATTAAAAAAATTAATAATTATCTCGCTTCACCAAAGCAATTACAAAACCTTAACTTTTTAACATAGCTCCACGTTCTTTTTTTTTCCATTTAAAATTATAGATTGAACTAAGCCAGAAATATAATTACTGATAATGTACAGAGTGTTCCGTAAATGATGCGACAGACTTCTAGGGGAAGGTAGGAGACATCATTAGGATTAAGAATTGCATGTCCACCTGTGACCAGAAATGTCATCATATGCCACTAAGGACCCTTCCCTATTATGAACTGTTTCTTCTTGTGCCTTTGAACCGGTACTTTTGCACATCTGAATTTTATGTTTTCTAAGAACTGTCAAAAATTGCATTAAAATAGGTCTGGTATTAGCTACTTTATCATAATTTAACGACTCATCGACTAAGTGGGCGAACTCTCCGATTCATTAAGTTTCGATAAAACAAAGTCAGCAAAGAAAGACAAATCAAGTTCAAGCAAAGTTGAACGTAATTTATGACAATAATTATTAGAAAACATAAGATTATATATGGATATTTTAGATAAATAAAAGTACCGGTTCAAAGGTATACGAAGAAACAATTCATAATAGGGAAAAGCCCCTATTGCCCTATGATGACATTTCTGGTTACGGGTGGATATGCAATTCTTAATTCTAATGATGAATCTTACCTTCCCCTAGAAATCTGTCTCAATATTTATGGGTCATCCTGTAAACTTATATGCTTGGTCATACTAAAATTTTTTCCCCCTTCTAATTAACTTAAACATAGCGGGGGTTGGTCCAGACATTTTGTGAAAGGTCCGTTTTTGTAAAATTAAAATATTTTGTGAAGGGTCCGTTAACGGACCCAAATTTCTTCTAAACAGACCCCTGCATAGGTCTACTTTATGTAAATACTTAATTTGACAGTTAGATGAATAGGTAAAAAAATGTTTGTCAAAAAAAAATCAATCATTTATAGGGTTGCCACTCCACAGGGAAAATAGGAAAAACCTGGAGAATACAGGGAATTTAAAAATCATCTAAAATAATAGGGAAAATACGGGGAATTTCGTTTATTATTTTCGTCTTTTAAAAAATGGTGGCCACTCAAATGGGATATTTAAGGATGATATTTCCGCTTTACTAAACTATTTCATTTACTATAGCTTCATTTAAGAATGTTCAGCTGAAGCTTATGTCAACATTGGACTAAATATATATTTTTTAAACAAATAAAAGTACTTCTTCCAGATAAGTATTTAATTTTAGGATCACTGTGTTAATGTGTTATTTTTTTTTACCAAACTTTTTATTTAATAAAGCAGTTTTTGAAAAAAAGTATATAGAAAGAGTAAAATTTTTTGTTTTGAGAAATCAGCAGATGAATTAAAGACATTTGCATGGAAATTTTAAGTGTTTTATTATATTTATTACATAATTTTACTCCCAGTAATTAATTTCATAAACACAATCATACTATCTATTTACCGATTCAGAAAATTGCTTACTAGCAAATATATCTATAAAAAAATATTTTGATAGTTTGTGCTTGGTGTACTCCCTTTACTTCTTTACAGTTGAAGGTAAGTTACTATTAGTTTTGTTTTATGATAAGAAACAGCTTTTTGTTTTGCTGTGACAGCAGTGTTATGTCATTTAAAAACTTGCCTCATTGAAACGAATGTATTTCTGTTGAAAATATGTATTTTATTTTGTCTCTGTAACTCTTTCTCTCTTTTTTTTAAAAGAATAATAAAAACTGTCTTGTAATAAAACATGTTTTAATGGCTGATATTGGAATTCAGCAAACTTTTTTAAAAACATATTTTAATGGGTAATACTTAAACAATTGTGACTCTATAATGACTGAAATAGGAATTCTATATATGAATTCAGTGAGCTTTTTTAAAAACATATTTTAATGGGTAATACAGTAGGGAACCGATTATCCGGAACGATCGGGACCATCGCTATTCCGGATAACTGATTTTTCCGGTTTTCTGAATCGCTACAAAAAGCCGTTTTTTTTTATTGTTAAACCCAACTAAAAGAAATATTTGGTAATAATCTTAAAAAGAAGAAAAAACGATGAAGTAAAACACTAATGATTATTTCCAAAATGATTGTAAGGTAAACATCTTTCAAAAAAGAAAGAAAAATCCTAAAATTTTATGAGCGAAAAAAAATATATATTTTTTTAAAATTGGCGGAAAAATTTATCGAATTTCGTTCCGGTTTTTTGGTTTTCCGGTTTTCAGAATTCCGGATAACGGGTTCTGTACTGTACTTAAACAATTTGACTCTATAATGACTGAAATAGGAATTCTATATATGAATTCAGTGAGCTTTTTTAAAAACATATTTTAATGGATAATACTTTAACAAATTGTGTCCTTCTATTAATTATTAATGTGTCCTTCTTCTGAAATAAATTATAATTATTGCTTGACACATTTTTAAGTAACTTTTATTCAGGGACTGCAGAACCGGGAGGGGGGCTATAGCCCCCTCACATTTCATAGATGAAGGAACCCTGCCCTTCTAAGATTACAATTTTTAACTCAATATTTGTGTAATTAAATTTACAATTAAAAAAAAATTTTTTTGTGTGTGTCTATATTTAAAAAAAACCTATTTCGAGTGAGCTTTAACATTTCCTTTGTGAAAACTGCTATTAAATCATTCCTTACTCATCCCCCTTGGGGGAGGAAATATATGTCTCTATTGCTGAGCAATGGGAAAAATTCTTGCGAACAGAACGTAAAACAACAGTGAGACAGAATAACAATATATATATATATACCATTAAATGAAAGATAAATAATTTACAGGTAAGCCATTTATTATCTTAATTTTAAAACGTGAAGTTAAATTTAGAATTATTTTGCGAGATTCAGATAATTTGGACCCAGTTGGTGTGTATATACACTGGTTATCATAAATTAAGGAAAAATCACAAAAATAGCGATAACTCTTTCAAAAGTAAGCCAAACCGTGCAAAATTTGCATATGTTGTCCACTAAGAGTAGCTGAGTAAAATTGCAATATGCAAATTAGTGGCGCTGCACTCGGCTTACGTCATCTGCCTGGAGCATAAAAGTCCAAGTTTGAGAGAAAGCACACAAATTTTACTGTGATTGCGACATTGAAAATCTGAGATAGCCAATTCGTAATAATGACCTCTAGGCATCATTTGCCTGAAGAACTACGATGGAGAGCCATCGGGAGACTAGAGGCAGGGCAGAGTCAATCAGAAGTGGCCAGATGGCTAAATGTGAGTCCATCTGTGGTTCATAGACTTTGGAGGCAATTTCAAACCACAGATTCGGCATCTAGGAGGTTCAGTCAAGGACGGCCAACTGTTACGACCAGTGCCGATGACCGATATTTGACATTAAGTGCACGCAGGAATAGAACCGCTACTCCGACACATCTTAGATCCTCTCTTGCTGCAGCCACCGGAAGGTTGGTGTCAACGTCAACTGTGCGCAGAAGGCTCCACGAAGGTGGTCTGTATGCGAGACGACCAGCCATTTGCGTGCCGCTCACATCACGCCATAGGAGAGACCGTTTGCAGTGGGCCCGACAACATGTCCACTGGACGTCAGATCAATGGAGGCCTGTTCTCTTTACGGATGAGTCCAGGTTTAGTCTAGAAAGTGACAGTAGACGTTATTTGATATGGAGAGAACCTGGGACCCGTTATCATCCATCAAACATCCGTGAAAGAGATGCATACGGAAGAGGCAGTGTCTGTGTTTGGGGAGGCATATCCTTAGGAGGGCGCACATACCTCCATGTCTTTCCAAGGGGAACCGTGAATGCTCAGGTTTATCGAGACAACATCCTTGATGCTTATGTGCGCCCATATGCCGGGGCAATTGGTGATTGCTTCCTGTTACAGGACGATAATGCAAGACCACACAGAGCTCGCATTGTTGATGATTATCTTCAACAGGAAACAATTACTCGCATGGAGTGGCCAGCTCGATCCCCGGACTTGAATCCTATCGAGCACGTTTGGGATGCTCTAGGGAGGCGTGTATCTGCCATCAATCCGCCCCCTCAGACCCTTGCCACGCTTGCAACTGCTTTACAAGAGCAATGGCTCTCACTTCCTATTGAACTGATAGACCGCATAATTGAAAGCATCACACATCGCTGTTTGTGCTGTATTGCTTCTAGAGGCAATCATATTCCATATTAAAGGTACTTTTTCTATTGCAAACCGATACTTCCAATTTGTTTATTTTATACATGTGCTAATTTCTATACTACTATTAATGTCTGATAATTTCTTTTTATGTTGTTTAATACCTTACTATGTGTTGTATATTGTGGGTAAGTTTCATAAAATTCCATGTGTAATTTCTTGAGTTATCGCGATTTTTGTGAATTTTCCTTAATTTATGATAACCAGTGTATATACAGGGGTGATTGTGAGCCCAACTAAAAAATCCTGAAAATTTGTTGAGTAAAATCATTAATGACGCATTTCAAAAAATTAGTGTCTTTATTAATATAAATCCTTGATATTTTCAAAACATGAGATTCTAAATAAATTATAAGCAGCATAATTTAAATGAATAATTATGCATAAGTTTACTTTTATCTCTAATCACATTTATTATTCTACCAAAAAAATATATTTTTTAATGAAAGAGATGCCAAGTATAAATTCTAGTTCTATCTGATATTTTTATACATAAATGTGATCAGTGATTTCTTGAAACTTCTGGATTTTTTTCCAGAGCTCAATCATCTCTGTATATATACACACACATATATACATAGATATTGGATTGCTTTAAGTTTTTACAGAACCGTGGTTTCCTTTATACTGACGTTTGGTAGCATTTTCAGAATTATCATAAGCAGCTGAAGATAAGCTAAACTTGACCTCTCAGTCATGAATAAATGTTGCAAACCCCCGACGATTTAATATAAATAGCTTCGCAAAGAAGCGTTATTTCTTGTAACGACTTTTTAAAAAAACAGCTTCATAATCAAAGTATTATTCAACGCCAGATTGTGTCATTTCAACATTAGGCGTATTATGATTTGTAAACAGAGAATCACAGATCCAATCACATATGCCTGAGTTTAGTTGAAAAATCAAAGACAAAATCCAACAAAAGAAAGAATAAACTTTAAGTACATTAAAACTTTAAAGAAAATCACAAAATTAACAAATTTAATGTGTTTTTAAGCTAGAATGCTGACATACGTGAGTGTATTATATATTTTAAAAAAAGACCACTTTCAAATTTCTTCGTAACGAAATACAATCAATTGCATTTTATATAAATACAAGAAACATATGAAATTAAAATGAATTTAATATTGAAGATTGTACTCATAAAATAAATTTCAATGTCTTGGTAATAATAACACCAGTAGATATATTTTATGCTATTTTTTTTAAAAAATAGTAATACATTTTCTGAATAGGTAGGAACGTAAACAGCTGATAATTTTGAATTCTACTGATGTTTACATTATGCAATAAATATTCACTACTCATTAGTTTTCCAATTCAATAAACTACAATAAATTTTTTTTTTAAACAAAATTTTAGGTCATGATAATTATCTAATAAGAAAAATTTATGTGAAAACGTTGCATAATTTGAACACATTTCACATGTAAAAAAATTGGATTTTGTTTTGGAAATATTTTATAACACAAGAATACACTAATTACTAAACAGACTATAAAAAAAAGAAACCCCTTCAGTACCAGAGAACAAAGTGCTTTGTGCATATTATTACATACATGTACTAAAGCAGTGGTCGGAAGTAGTAAAACTACTGTAGTTGCTACTTTAGTTTGCAGTGCGCTACTTTTTTTAAAGTAGTGTCGTGAGGAGTGCGATACAAAAAGGAGTAGTTTGTAGCCATTACCGACAACAGAGTGCGTAGCCAAATCTTTCAACAAAAAATTAGCACCTTTTAAGCACTCAAAAAATATTTTTAAGCAGTATATACATTAACAAAATAATTTTCAAAGACTTTACGTGATCGTGATAAAATAACTAGTTTCTGACAAAGAACTTTTTATTATTATTATTATTTTAGCTGTTATAAAATGATCAAGAGATTTTTCGGATCGCTATCAGAAAGTCAAGCCTGAAATTGAGAATATCTTGCAAAATGCAGCAGAGTTGCCCATGAGAGAGCGAGAATATCACCAAACCCAGCTCACATGCGAACTCCCAAGTATTTCATCAAACCTGTTAAACGATTATCGCTTTCATATTCTACCGACCGACAACACGCCTAAATGGATTGTGGTTGAATGAATTGCGAAGACATTGAATAGGACAATGCGAAAAGCACGCTTTTACATAATGCATGGCGAGAATAGATGTGGTAAAGAAAAAAATCTCCTTTTCGAAAATGGAAAATTAAGCACCTTTAAGCTCTTTTTAAAAATGCTAGGCACCATGTTTAACGTTAGTTTAGAAAAGAAACATTATTCTAACACAACAAATTACGGGTACAAATATTTTTATCAATGAATGCAATGAAAATGACCCTGTGGTTACAGCTGAGCGTTAACAAAAATTACGTATTTGAAATTACGTTTAACTAATATTTAAAAGAGCCATTACGAAAAATACGTAATTAATCACTTTAGTTACACGTGAGACATTGATGTTATTTCAAAGGCAGGAAATGTACTTTTGATGTACTTAATTTCTTAGAGGAAATAAAAGCATTAAACAATTTAAAAAATTGCAAGTATTTGATGATTTCGCATTTCTTAAATTAAATATTCACTGTCGAAAGTAACATATAAAGTGAAAGATTAAATGAACACATTCAAAAAATATATTATATAATAACAAACTAGCTCATGTAAACGTGAACAAATATTTTTTTAATTATTCCCTTATATTTAATGTAAGCCAATTTATTATTTTAAACATAAGTGTAAATTGAGTTTCAGCAAAGTTCGTCTAAGTAAAGTAGCTGTAGCTAATTACATTTGTAGCAACCTACAAAAATAAAGTAGTTTTTCCGACCACTGTATTAAAGGGTATGTATGTATTAATACAAAAGCAGAACACCCTATTGAGATTGCATCTTGGGCTGCTAAAGACAGAAAGACTCATTTCATATATGATACTGTGAACTCTGAAGGCAGAATAGTGTGATCACGGTACTGAAAGGGTTAAAATACTTGACAAGTTATTTTCAGAATGGATTTTATTTTTGTTAAATAATGGTGAAATTCCATAATAGACATGCATCAAAAGAGTGAATTGCTTTTTCCAAAAATCTTTCACTCAATAATCTATTTTTTTAAGGTTTCTCCCATTTAAACTTCATATTCTTAATTTTGTTTGTAAACATCTAGACCAGTGGTTACAAACTGGCGGCCCGCGAACTAAAATATATTTAGTTGTCCTTTTTCTGTGGACAATTTTCTTAAAAAATCTATATGGGTTTAAAATACTTTTCTTTCATTTAAAAAAACCTTATTTCTTCGTTTCTGTGAAATTTTACAAACCAACGGTGCAAAATAATTTATTTCTCAGGTTTTGCATCCAAGAAAATATTTATTCGAATGCAAAAATAATCGTGTATGTTGCTCTTTTTTATTTCGTTTTTTTTTTGTGAATATAATTTAGCATGTGCTTATCAGAAATTTTCTCGAAGAAATTCTCCCATTTAACTTTTTGAAACCACTCATTTTGGACTAAATTATTTACAATTGTAAATTTTACAACGCATAAAAGAGGGAATGAATATCATGTTTTATTTAAATTTCTTGAATTGAATATCGCATGAGCGAAAAAGAAAAAAATATTAATTTCATATGAATGAGAATTTTTTTTGTTGCTATAATTCCTAATAAGTCAAAAATTTTCTAATTTATCACAGAATTAAATTTAAAAGAAAAAAAAATCTTGTCACCAAGTTTCTGATTAAGAGAAGATTAAAAATGATATGTAACAAGTATTATTTGTAATGCTTGTTATTTTGCTTTTTAAAATTAAAAAAACTTTGATAAAAATCTGACAGAAATATTTAATGTTCCTTCAAACATAAAAGAGTCCTATATAAAATTTTGATAAAGTTGTGGCTTAAAAATATTTTTTTTTGTCTTGCATATGCTAATTGTCCAAAATCTGTTTTTTTTTTAGATTTTTTTAACCAATCTATTGAAAACTTTTGTGATAATTTATGTTAATTTTTGTCTCCAAACAAAATAATATATTTATTCAAAAATTTTTACAGTGAATTAGAAATTAAACTCAATTGGCATCAGAATTTAGATCAGTGTTATGCTTCAACCTTTTGAGAACTACCCAGTTACCAAAATATTTAGCTTCATAAACAGCATCAAAATGATACCCATAATACCACAGCGTGTCTTTGTTACTCTAATGGTGAACTATTGACAAAACATTTAAAATATTATAATAACAATTAAAGCCTCATATTTAATATTTTTTTGCTAACTTTTAATAGACAAAAACCATAATGTTATTCAAAATTAAAAGAAAAGCCTTGGATTTCTCACACTTTAATAATAATCAATTTTTTAAAAATAATGTACAGGGGAACCTGATGTTTGATTTCAAATCAAATGTGCAGCAGAACTTCAATCACCCAAATACTTCTGTCAACAGAAGAAGATTTTGAAGTTTTTTTTTCTTCTTTTCTCTCAATTAAAGATTTTTTTCATTCCTTTAATAGCAATATGCTGTCATAATTCATGTACACAAAATAAAACTTTTCTTACCAGATATACTCTAAGTCTGGATAATCGAAATTCCTACTGCACTTCTAACAAAATAAAACTTTTCTCACAAGATGTACAAAAAAAAAAGGTCACTAAATATTTCTATATGATTGTAAATAATATAGTACATACATCTATATATAATACTATGGTAAAAATTCTTTCACAATAAGCATCACATGATTTCACGTTAAAATAAAAACTTATCACAAAATAATATTTAAAACAATAACAACAACACATCCCTTACAATAATAAAAACTTTTTTTTCCTCTCTTTTAAAAACATTGAATAATTGGATGAGATATTTACAATGAATGGACGGATGATGAACTGTATCACATAATATTCACTAACACTCACAGTTGAACACTGATACGAAATTTCTACTTAAAAAACAGCTTCATTAACCCCCTAACAGTTCAAGATAGTCCTTGCATTGTGCGCTAAAGGGTTAAGAGTTTTACAGTATGGAATGCTAATACACAATGTAATAAAAATAATTTGATATTGCTTCAACTTGATGGCACTTCACATTTGGTTTCACATAAGGGTGGTCCACATTAAGATATTCTTGAAATATCTTCTGTGCTTTTATTTGTCACAAGTTCTTTGGAAGACGAGAACGAATTCAATGAAAGAATGACCCAATTCAGCTGCAGGCAGAGAACAAGGCTGAAACAAAAATATTGCTCAGTAAAATATGAATTAATATTAGTTGTAAATTTATTTATCAATCGAAACTTGTTCATTAATGTAATTTGCAAACTAATGTAAGTAATGTTTTATGAACCCAGGGTGCGTAAGCCAAATCTTTCAACAAAAAATAAGCACTTTTTAAGCACAATATACATTAACAAAATGCAAAATAATTTTCAAAGACTACATGATCATATAAATAACTAGTTTCTGACAGACTAGTCAAAATAACTAGTTTCTGACAAAGAACTCTTTTCTTGATTATATACTAGAAATTACAAAATGATTGAGAGGTTTTTCGGTTCGATATCACAGGGTGGAAAACGAAGCCTGAAATTGAAAGTATCTTGCAAAATGCAGCAGAGTTGCACATAAGAGTGCAATAATCTCACCAAACCCAACTCAGTGGACGCACATGCGGACTCCCAAGAATTTCAACAAACTTGTAAAATGATTGGCACTTTCATACGCTGTGGATAGATGGTAAGCCGAAATAGATTGTGGTTGAATGAATTGTCAAAATGTTGAATAGAACAATGGGAAAAGCATGCTTTTGCATAAAACGTGGCAAAAATAGACATGGTAAAAAAAAAATCTCCTTTTCGAAAATGGAAAATTAAGCAATTTTTAAAAACACCCAATGAAAAAAGCACCTTTAAGGGCTTTTAAAAAACGAAAATAAGCACCTTTATGCACTTTTTAAAAATGCTACGCACCATGGACTATGAAATAATAAGGCAGTGGTCCCCAACCTCTGGGCTGAAGAAGGGTACTAGTTTATGGATCAAATGATACTGAGCCCCCTAAAGAACATTCAATTATTTCAATCCCCATGGTAGAATTGCGACGAGATTATCGCAGAACATTACAGAGTTTTTGCAGAGAGATTTTTTATTTGGGGAGGGAAAAAGTTTGGTTCACTTTTCTGTATAATTTTTCGAAAAAAAAATTTTTTTTTTTCCTGCAGAATTTTTTTTTCAAATATGTATTTTTTGTGCATCAGAGATGAAAGAAATAATTGGGATTTTTCTATTCTCATTTGGGATTCAAAAAAAAAAAAGTCCGTAATGACTGGCCTTACCTAGAATTTCAAATTAATAATATAAAATTAAAAAAAATCAGAAATCACGAAAGTTTAAAATATAGTTCGCTCTGGAAATGACGTTCTTTCATTCATTTTTCTTCCCTTTAAGGAACACCATGTTTTACATACACTTACTTGATTATCTCTTTTTTTTTTAAAGAGTCCTATTCGTATGATTTCGTCTTTGATCTTTGTTTTGGGGTTACTGCACAGATTTTACAATTTTCAATTTATGTACGAATTTGAATTTATTGTCATTTAATTTGTTTACGAATTTTAATTTTTCTAATGATTTACAAAATTTGAAGCAGGAAATAATTAGTGCATTTTCTACTCTCAAAATACGAGAAAGCGCCTATAATATTAGGATTTTAAAAAAAATTGCTTTTACAATTAACATTTTTTATACAAATTTGTAAACAAAACGTTTCTGCTACTTTGAACTAGTAATCGTTATAATTAAAAGTATCTTAAAGAAAAATATGAATGCTAGAGAAGTTTGTTCTAGAAAGCCTGAAAAAATTCTGCCACGGGAATTTCAATTTTATTTACCATTGTGTGTTTCTCTCCGGTTTGTGTGACTTTATGTGGACGAGAGGTTAACTGGGAGCTGAGATAAAACTTACAACTAAGATCGTTCAATTAAAGTCCCACCCATACTGCGCATGTAACTGTATTTTGTTTTGAAGGCATGTTTAAATACAATTAAATTAAAATTATTAAATCAAAAACATCTGAAATATAAAAATCAACGCCCATCCTCCATCATCAGGCCGTGATAAAATTAACAAATCTGATGCGATAAAAAGGTTGGAGAGCACTTTAATAAGGCATAAATCGTAATAGTTGGAACCTCTGATAATAGTCTTTACATGTAAAATGCTAGCTACAAGTGCAGAATACTTACAGTATCTGATACTACTGTGCGGGCTTGCACTCTGAACCTGTAGGTACTTCTTAGATACAGACCAATAGGCAGTCTCCAACTAGGGTCGACTTCCTAAAATAATAATAAAAAATAAATATAATCAGAAATCATTCATTAGACTTGATCAAGTTTAGGAATTTTATTTTATTTTGTAACTGTCGTTGAACAGCAGACTCAATATTTTGGGTTTACGACTACGAATGTTGAACTTCGTAACCTTGTAATTTTGAACCTAATCCACAAAACAAGAGAACTCCTGGATCAAGTATTGGGAAAAATTTGACTTCATGGAGGATTTTTTTGATGGAACTAACCCGTATTTGCATTACATGTAGAGGAAAACCAACCATAGTTAGTCTGACGGCAAGGGGACTCTAATCCATGATCCGTCTATCACTGAGGATATTTTACGTAAGCACTGTGGTCGGTGCAAGCCGGATGTTGAATTTTTATCGACCAGCTGTTGCTGACCCTCATTGGAAGGCGAACGCTTTATCTCCTGAGCCACCACGGCTCAAGTTTTTATATTTTACTACCGTCGTTGAACAGCCAACCCAATTTTCGGTTTACGACTACTAATGTCCAACTTCGCAGCTTGGTAATTTTGGACGAATCCAGAAGACAAGGAGTTATGGGAACATGGAGGATTTTGTGACTCGACAGATTTAATGCGCATCAGTCACCATTTACTACACTTCGAAGTTTTTGAATTGTAATCAATAAATACTTACTTCTGTGAGGTTCTGTTCCCTGATGTAGTCATGAGGAAGATCACCAGCACCATTGTGCCGGGACAGGCACGCTTCTGGTTTGGCATCTGGTTGACAATGATCCACAATAAGGGGTACTGCAAGACTGGAAGATAATAAAAACAATCAGAATTCAAAACATATAATTATATCAATTAAGGAACTTTATAGTTTGTCTATGTAAGGAACAACCCTAACCATTCATGTGGAGTAGCGGCAGTCACTATCGTTATGAGGTTTAAGCATTTCAAGTAGGGGTGTTGGGTCCTTATTTAAAAAAGTGTTTGGCTCAGGTAGACGAGAGAGAGAGGGAGTCAGGGGGGAAAGAAGCTCCCCTCTTTGAAATGTGCCATTTTCTCGTTTCTATAGCAGCAGACGTCCTTAGACTTTGTGGCGAGGGGAGTTATTTTAATAGACAAACTATACATAGTCTTGACTCCTTTTCACTTTAAAAAAACTGACTTAGCCACACAATAAAGGTGCAAAATAAAATCATGAGTATATTATAATACGGAATGATGAAAAGTTATAGTCAATTCGTTATAGACAGCACACAAAAAAATCCTATAACATGAGTAACCAGGGTGCATAGCCAAATCTCTCAATAAAAAATAAGCACCTTTAAAGCATTTTTTAAGCACTATATACCTTATCAAAATGCAAAATGAATTTCAAAGACTTTCAGGGATGAGATTGGCCAAAGGGCAAAAAAGCTGAATTTCCAAGCGAATAAATTTTACGTTGTCAATAGAAAAACAGTCTTCTTTATAGTAACTAATTCAAGAAAAAAAATTTACTTCTTACAGGAATCACGATAATTGATTTTAAAATCGCCTGAATACAAACAGCAATCTTGGAGTTTAAAATCGCGTGAATATGAAACACGATAATGGATTTTGAAATCACGTGAATATGAAACTCGATATTTGATTTTAAAGATGGGAAAATACAAACTGCGTTATATAATTTTTAAATCGCGTAAATACAAATCACGATTCATAATGTTTAGATTGTGTAACGAATCACAATGCGTAATTTTTAGATCGCGTAAATACGAATCATGATGCATAATTTTTAGATCGCGTGAATGCGAATCCCAATGCCTTATTTTAAAGTCACGTATAAATACGAAAATCGATGTTTGATATTATAACCGCATGAACAAATAACAACATAGGTTTTTAAAAATGCATAAATACAAATCGTGATATTGGATTTTTAAATCATGTAAATAAGGATGGCAATGTATGATATTCAAATTGCGTGAATAATAATCGTAATGAGCAACTTTTAAATAACGTAAATACGAAAATCTATGTTTGATATTTAAATCGCGTAAATAAGAATCAAAATATTAGCAGATTCTGGGCTTGAGACTTCTAAAAGGCTTGTTTGAAGAAGCGACGTCTGAATTACGAAAATACGAGCTATCTGGCAAGCGGATAAAAACTATATCGTCTGTGCATAAAAGCGTAGAAAATAGCTAAAATAAGTAAAAATGAGAAGAGTTGGCAGCATTGTACTTTGAATTTTCTGTTTATCTTTGAAAATCGGAAATACATAAAATTATTTTATTTCAAAGGCTGAAATTAGCTTAAAAATCTCATCCCTGGACTTAACATGATCACGATAATATAACTAGTTTCTGAGAAATAACTTTTTTCTTGATTATATTAGCCACCCTAAAAAGATCGAGAGAATTTTAGGTTCGGATAATGAGGGGGGAAATGAAGTAATTGAGCATATCTAGCAAAATGCAGCAGAGTTACACACGAGAGTGATAGAATATCACCGAACCCAGCTCAGTAGATGCACATGCGTACTCATAAGTACTTAATCAAACTGTTGAAATGATTGCCGCTTTCATACGCTATGGACCGACGAAAGGCCGAAATGGATTGTGGTTGAATGAATCCTGAAAATGTTGAACGGAACAATGTGAAAAGCACGCTTTTGCATAAAACGGGCCGAAAATCGACACAGTAAAAAAAAAATTATATATCTCATTTTTGAAAAGAAAAAGTCAAGCACTTTTAAAAAACACCTCATGAAAAAAAGTACCTTTAAGGGCTTTTAAAAAACGGAAATCGAAAAGAAGCACCTTTAAGCACTTTTTAAAAATGCTATGTACCATGTGAAATACATTTCAGGACAAAAAAAATAAACTTACTTGAATTGCAACGTTAGATATTCCTCTGTCATGAATTTAGACACAGGGATGTGATAACTGAATCGAGGTCCTATTTTGTGTGCACACTGCAAAGTGTTGCAATATTCTTGTCCAATGCTTGCATTCAATTCCAGTAATCTCAGGGATTCAATGGCTTTGGGTAAATCTAGACAAAGCAATCAATATAATCATAACAACGACTATAAAGTTCAATTTAAGATAGCTACAACAGTTGAGAAAGTAAATGAAACAGTTTATAGAGGGTGATTATGGGTATCTTGTTAAATTTTAAACCTGTCACATATTTCCCTCATTACCCATGTGGTGAGTTCTATGTAAAACAAAATTCTCCATATTTTCCCTGTACATATTATACATAATATATTAAGAGGAAAAACACAATCACTGTTGCTCTTGTGTGAGCTATATTGGGCTAACTATACTACTTTTGATTGCTGGAAAAACTTAGAGAAAAAAAGTACAGCTGAACCTGCTTAAAACAAATAATGCTACAGTAAATTAAATAGTTTAATATAGCTGAAATATCATCCTTAAATATTCCATAGATCACAGTCTGAGTGGTTACCCTTTTTTAACCTTTTCCTTCTCGCTCCCGTGATATTTCTGGGCTGGAGTGTTCAGTAGTAACGCGCCAATAAAAATATAACCAATTAATTTCTTTTGCCATGAAAACATTTTATTTCTCATTTTACACACCAGATGGCAGTACCAGGATATTTTTAAGGTAATTGTAGATAGAAAGAGGTAGTAAGAGATGTAGGAAGGAAACTCGATACTACTGTTCAGATTGTGATGTTGGCCTCTGTATCTCATGCTTTGAAATTTATCACACAAGAAAAAATTACTAATCTTTATTTAAATTATACGTAAGTTTAATAAAATTCTTTTTTAATGTTTAAAACAAATATTTTTAAAATTTTCCTTGCTTGCTGGAAAACCAACATTAAGTCTTAGTAACCCTGAATGTCGGCTTTTCCTATAAATTTAATTTTTTAAAATTTCAAGCTAAAAACAAATTAAAAATGAGTATATATATTGTTCATAGACATATTTTTATATAATTTTCAGGGATAAAAAAGTGGGCACTTTTCTGACCGTTTTGTTGAAAATTAACCGATTGTTAAAGGGTTAAGGTCAAAGAAGCTAAGTTAAAATTACCTTTACGGGGAAGCAACTTTGTAGCTCTCTTAAGTCGCCTTTCCCCCGACAGCAAACTTTTATCATTTCTCAGATTTCGCATCTTCTGCTGAAATTGATTCCTCACATCAATATCGTCGCTCCCATTTTGCTGCTCGGTGACATTCATCAGCTTCGATCGTTGGACGACATTCAGTTCTCGGGTGGGTTTGAGCTGGTTTTGATGAACTGGATGGTCCTCCAGGTCTGAAGGTTCCAATGATGTTGGCTTCTCAACAGTCGTTTCAAAATTATCAAAAAATGATGATTTGGTGACGCCCTGGAGTTGCCCATCATTCACATCTTTTCTGATTATCTCATCAAGCTTAGCATTACTTAAATCAACTGTATGTGAAAGACAATTTCGCATAATTCAGATTCTTTTCTTTAAAAAAAAACTTAAAACAAACTTCAATGTAAAGATTACAGTCTTAACCCTCAGCGTACGGCTCTCGTGATTTGAGCGGGGTATCAGTTTGCTTCTCAACAACCGAGTCACATGAAAATCGCGGGCGGATAATTCATTCCCCTTGTTTAATATTGATCACGCTATTTCCCTGTGTAGGTTAAAAAAACATCATTTGATGCTTATTTTTGCTGCTAGATGGCACTAGAGGGTTCAGGAATTTTTTCTCCTTGTTTGATTCCCCCCCCCCTGCACATTTGTGAGTTTGCATTCTTTTTGTTTTTCTTTTGAGAGAAAAGCATTTATTTAAGATATGGATTTGCCGAGTGTCAGAGGCGTTAAATGTGGGAATAACAAACGAAAATATCTTGATTAAGACAGTGATTTGGAGTATCCCATAAATCTGGGCTTTTATTTTATTTTTTCTGTTTTATTACAAATTTTCTGTAAAATGTTCGAGCCAAAATGTTTACAAATTATGTCAGAAAATGAAAATATCGCAGGAATTTTTTCACGTATAATTATATACTTTTACCCGCCGTATTATATACATTTTGAAAATGTAAAAGCTATTGAAATTCTTGTAGTATTTTAAGACAACTGATGAAGATGTGAATTGTAGCATATGTAGATAAAGAATATATATAAAATATTGTCCCATGTTTCAGGACCCCGGATAGTATAAAAACTAAGCCGTATACGGAGGGTTAAAAAAGGTAAATACTTTCTTTTAGGTGCTGAATACCATTTTAGAATATCATTTACTTTTATGTTCATTTAATTGCAAGTGCTTTTAGAACTTATTAAATATGTAGCTAATGTATTTAAAAATGAAGAAGAAACATACGTATAACATATCTATATAAAGAAACATGCATACATAAAGAAGAAACATGTATATAAAGTAGAAACATTTTCTATAAAGATTTTTCTTTCACAATGAGGTATTTTTTAGTGTTTACTGACTTATATTATTTTACTCTTTATTTAATTGATGCTCATAGATTAAAACTTTGGCATTGAATTTTGAATAATAATAATTAAGATTTCATTTATTCAGTGATTTGTTGGTAATAATTCATTAATATAAACAGTTTTAAGTAGAAATAGAAATATCAAGTATTTTAGTACTATTAAACAATATTAAGTATTATTGAGATATTCAATCACAGCTTTGATGAATTTAAAAATCAAATCAATAAAAAATAATAATTAGATTTAAATAAATAAAAAAAAATTGCCACTTGTAATTTTTAAAAATAAATCATAACTTTTATTAGCTCTACATTTTTTGAATATTTTTCTTAAAGGAGGTGTAAACGCAATGTTTACAACTAAAAAAAAGTATCATTACGATTTAGACCTTTTTTTTTACATAAATAATAGGTCTTATAAGAATTCAAAAGGTTTAATAGAACTCAAGATGTACAGTGTGCAAAATAAAAAAACGGACCACCCTTATTAACTTTTGATCTAATGATCTGATCTTCACGTTCTAGGACTTAATCTTAATGGCTCGAGGGGGTGACTTCAAATATGCTAATTAATAAATGCAGATGATATTTTAAGTTGCAAAATCAGGCACAAACATGTACTTTTATTAAGTAAAAATAATTTTTATCCGATAGATTCGGGTTTTTAATCCCTAAAATATAGAGGGTAGCTGCAATCTGGGAAATATGCTCCCAATAGTTTGGTCAGGAAAGAGCTTGCCCCTTAATGTTAATTTTACTTTTTGCGTACAAGAACTTTTTATGGAAATGAAAAAAAAAATTTCACAAAATTATAAAATTTTTTTATCTAAAAATATAACTTTTTGTAAATATTTATTATTTTATTTAGTAACAGTCGCAGAAAAAATTTGAATTTTAAGGTAGACAATGCATAATTTTGAAGAATATAATTTTAGATGGCAAAATATAAACTTTGAGTGAAGTCGGTGGAATAGCTCCTAATAAATCGAATTTTAAATATCTGACTTTTTTGAAATTCCTTTTCTCAGGAACTTTTTTTACCGATTTTTCTCAGATTTTACATTTTGCCATGCAAAATTATATTCTTCAAAATGATGCAAAAAATTGTATATCTTACAACTCAAAATTTCTTTGACCATTATTAAATAAAATTATAAAAAATAATAAGTATTTACGAAAGTTATTTTTTTGGTATTATCTTGGGATAAACAAATTTTATAATTGTGAGCAAAAATTTTTCAATTCACATAAAAAGTTCTCGAGATATAGCAAAAAGCAAAATTAACATTAAGGGGTAAAGTGCTTTCCTGATCAACTTATGGGGACCACATCACCCAGATTGCAGCTACCCCCTATATTTTGGAGGTCAGGAATATGCAATAACATTTCAAAACGTATTTGAGCAACATAACGTAAAGTACATTAAAGTTTCTTACCTATCGAATGTGATTTATCATTTGGCACCCTGATGGGTATACCTTCATTGTTTTCCTGTGCAACAGCTTTTCTTTGGCTGGAAGAACAGCAGTAAACAAAGCACTGTTGGTTCAATCTCTGGCACTGGGTAGGAATCCCGATCATTCTCGGTTTGAGTATGGGGACGGACGTAGGGAAGTAACTTTGGTAGGAGCGTGTGGTCGATTTCATCAGGCTTTCCGTCGTTGAACTACTCCACCTCCACACCTGACTTATTCGATCAGAATTCGAAGCTTTGTTCTCTATTTGAATAAAGAGAGAATAAGTAACATGAATTGCAGTTAGTAAAAAGGGTTTCCTGTTTAATTTCAGAAATAAAATTCCTCCACTTTTTCAGGTTAATTAATTTGGTATCAATATTTAGAGTGATTATAAACACAGGGTGCATAGTCAGAATTTTCTACAAAAAATAAGCACCTTTTAAGCACTCAGAAAATATTTTTAATCACTTACCAAAAAAAAAAAAATCATAATTAGGGGATCTGTGCAGTAATAATGTTATTTTCTATCGTTTAAAGTTCTTAATTTATAAACATAAAATTCAAAAACTTAATCATAATAAAATAACTAGTTTCTTATAAATATTACAGAGAAAATTGTGAAAATCATGAATATTTTTTTTTTAAATTTAGAGTGACAATTGACAAGGCAAAGAAAAAACTTCTTTTTGAAAGATAGAAATAGAAAATTAAGCACTTTTTACAAACACCGAATAAAAAAGCACCTTTAAGGTCTTTTAAAAAAATCTAGATCAAAAATAAGCACCTTTAAGCACTTTTTAAAAACTTTACACACCCTGAATCCAATGATTTTTTCCAGACTAATTTTATTAAAATTTTCCTGATGTTCGTAACCTGTAGCATAAATTTTAATTTTGAGTTTCAGACAATGCTCTGACAATGACAAAACTGGAGGAAAATTGTATCGCAATATTTGAGAGAAAGATTTCAAGGAGTATACTCTGCAAAATCTTTCTCTCAAATATTGCAATGCAATTTTCTTCCAGTTTTGTCATTGTCCATTGTTGGCTTCTGAAGCTTGGGCAATGTTGAAAGATTAACTAAGTAAATAAAGGAATAGTGTCTAAATTGTATTTTGCACAGAGTGAAGTGTTCTGATTTTTTAAAAAAAAAGGTGACAAAGCATCTCACAAATTTATATAATGTTATTTAATTTCAAAATAAGCTAATCAAACAAGTTATTTAAATTTGCATATTGTATCAACACACAACAGTAACATCAATATAAATAAAACTCATACTCACTTTCTTGGCCGGAAATGATGGAATTTTCAAAGCTTGATTGAGATTTTCCTATCTCCACAGGAAATCGACTAACTGCTTCTTCAGTTATGTTCAATCTGAGTGTTTTCCCCCTGTTTGTAAATTAAAAATTTAGGTTTATTATGATGGTAACATGAATGGAAGAACTTTGTAAAACTTCAAACTAAAGTTAGAAAGGAACTAAAAAGTTATTAAGCTTCATAACTGGAAAAAGACAACTTTTAAACAAAGGCTGGAAGTGGGTTTTAGAGTTTCAAACGCAAATACATTAAAAATATAAATGGAAAAAGACAAATTACAACTATTACTAATAATAAAAACAATCATAGAATTTATTCAATTTTTTAAAAATTTATTTTGCACATTTATTAACAATTTGTATTTGTACATTTTTTAAAAATCTTTAAAATAAAATTATATTTAATTAACTTGAAATTTTGGTTAATTTACAATTAAAAAAATGTTTACAGTTCAACAGAAAAAAGTAATGCCGAAAATAAAGAGCAATTAATAATGAATAACTAAGAAGCTTTTAAATAGAAAAGTTTCGTTATTCGCTTGTTATTTTAAATATTCTACAATAACAAATTCTAGTGTTGAACAGAGTTTTTCAGGATATAAGAAGTTGCTTTTAAGAAATAGAAATGCATTAAATTTTAAGAATATCAACAAGCATTCGATAATACAATGCAATTATGTTATTCTTGACTTGACAATTATGTTATTCTTAGATTGACTCTAAAAATAAATAAATTCTTATTTATTTTTATCACCCATTTATTTCAATTTTAATTTATTCATAAAAAAAAAATTATTTTAACCATTTCCATCTATTTATTAATTTATCTATACAAATTTTGATTCCAATTCGCTTTCAGAAACTCTAAAGGGCATTATTTTTTGTTTTAGGCAATTTTTAATGACTCAATATTTTTTTTATGTTTTATTTAAGAATTTTTAGATGTCATCAATATCCTAGCTTTTAACATAATCTAGTTTAAACCATTTAAAAGAAAAAAAAACTTACTTGACATGCAGTTGTACGTTAGTGTCTTGTCTCTGTTTCCACTCTAACACATATATAACTGCCATTGCTATAACACTAAAAATATACAATTTCTTTTTACTATAAAAAGAACAGCATCTATTTCACTTGCAATTGTTGTTTATTAAAATTTATGTTTGAAAAGTTACATGGCTAACAACGAAAAAGTAAGTTATTTAATTATAATTATCATAATAATTATTTTATAACCATCATAATTATCATTATATTTATATAATAACTATTATAATTATCATAATTAACAATGGACTTGAAATTAAAGGTGGTCCAAAATCAATAACATTCGACTCAAACCAAAAATAATAATAATAATCAGTGGTCCTCTAAAGAAACAATTGACATAAAGAAAGAGGCTGGTTTTTTTTTTTTTTAAATTTCCTTTTTATCATAGCTGTCAACATGGACAGGATAAAATCCAGTAGATTTTAAGAAATAATATAAATTTGTTGATAATTGTTGCATAATGAACAAAATATTTTACACATGGTCCCTATTTTATGGATTTTTACAGTCATTAAAATAGAAAAACCGTAATATTTTCCAGTTATGAATTCACATTAAACATACAACTCAATGTTATGTATTATGTACACTCATAATTATGAATATTAATAGGCATTTATTTCATCAAAGATAATTAAAAGATTTTTTTAATTAATTAAAAAAGAGAGTTCTGAATAGAAATAAACTGAACATTTTAGAACTGAAAGTTTTGAACTGATTTCTATAAATGAGGTTCGCTTCTTTATGTATTAGTAATACTTATTTAAATATTCAAAAGCAAGCAATAATCGGTTCAAACATTCTATTTCAATAGGGATTTCTTTAGGAAACACTCAATTTTAGGAAATTTTCTAAAACGTACAAAAACCAGGCAAATTTGGTAATTCAGGCCAGTACAAAAACCAGGCAAGGTAATTAAACCAGTAGACCAGGAGAAACTGGCAAAGTCAAGTAGTTGGCAGCTATGGTTTTATGTTTTAATATCTGCTACTATCACAAAATAGCATATTTTGTCCAAATTTTGGCATAGCAAATTTTTTCAATAGCAATTTTCCCATTGAAATTACTTTAATAAGCTTTTTTTTAAAAGAAAAAATCAAATTAAGATGTAATAATAAAATAATCTAATAGGTAAATAGACCAGCAAAAACGTGTAGTAACTAGTAATATCTTTTAAACAAGAGTCTAAATTTTCTTAATTTCTACCCCTGCAAAATTATATGCTTGGTAATCAAGTTAACTAAACATTATTTTGCTTAAGTGGTCAAAAAGTCTTCATCACTATTTTGTTTAAAACAATTAACAACAAGGAGTTTAAAATAGATTAAACAAAGTCCTAAGCAGTTACGCTATTCTCAAAAAATTCTGGAAAAACAAAAACATAGCAAATTAAACAAAAATTAAAATTTTCAATATTCATGTTAAATCCGTCCTATTCTATGCATCTGAGACTGCAATAAAAATAACATGAAAAAACTTCAAGCATTTATTAACAGCAGTTTAAGAAGAATCTTGCGTATCAGGTGGTTTAATGAAATTTGTAATGCAGAAATCCTTAGAAAAGCAAAACAGAAACCAATTTAACTGCAAATTAAAAAATGTAAATGAAAATAGATTGTTTATGTTCTTCATACACAGGGTATCTGCTACAACTATACACTGCTATATAAATTGTGCTATATAAATTGTACTATGCTATATAAACTATAAATTGCAGCAGGGTACTGTTACAATTTAGATTTTCAAATTCATGACTTTCCATGAATAATTCCAAGAATTTTTCATGACTTACCAAAGTTAATATTTTCTCCGACAAAAACACAACAATAAATTTAAAAAAAGCATTATAATAACATTAATTGAAATGATAGATAAAAACAAAACTGTTATACTCTGCATCTTCATGTGTATTGATTTTAAACTTAAAAAACAGAGTAAAGAAAGAGTTGAAGCAATAAAATAACTGAAAAAAATATATATAAAAGCAAATAACTAAATACAGTCAGATATACGTAGTTATTTAAAGTTGCTTTATTTCTTCTTAAAAGCAAGTGTAATATAAAAAGCCTAAACTAGAATTTTAAATTGATAAAATAGAAAAAATAAATAATAAATAAATAAAATAATTCTGAAATCACGGAAGTTTAAAACATAAGTTTAAAAGATCATTCGTTCTAGAAATCATGTTCTTTCATTCATTTTTTGAAAGAATACCATAATTTTTAAACAACAGGATTAAAACATTTTACATTTTAATAAAATATGACCGTAAGTGGGGATTTTGTTACAAATTCAGATATTCAGACCATTTTGAAATTGGGAAGGGGTAAATTCCATTTTAAAAATTAGACTTTTCCTAAAAATTAGATCCTAAATCCATGATTTTTTTTTAAAAAAATGGTTAAAATCATAACTTTCCAGGTGTGCAGATACCCTGCATAAACCTGATTTTTTTTAAAGTAAAACAAGTTTTTGATTGGAACCCTTTAAAGCAATAGAAAAAAAAAAAGGAAAACCTAAAAATAGGACAATTGTAAGCGAATTGAAAACAATAGGAAACATGGATGAGAGTAGTCAGAAAGTAAAAAAGAGGAAATCCAAGAATATATATATATATATATATATAAATCTTTTATAT